ATAAAGTCTTAAAATTATCAAAACTTACCAGTAACTGTTATCCTGTCTTTTTGAATATTTCCCGGATGTCATACTGCGCATGCTCTTAATTCGTACTTTGGCAAATTCGTACTGAATTCATATTAATCACTGAATTTGTAAAATTCATATATTTACCATTCTTGTTAGTTGTTATAGTTATCAATGATATACGGTAGTGCGACTTTGTCAAGTCCGACCTCGTTATGGTCCGACAATGTTATAGTCCGACATTATTATAGTACGAATTATTTATCAGATAAAAATAGGATTCCCGCTCGACGAAGATCCGACGTTGAATCAATGTTGGCAATTCAACTCAATTTGAATTCAATGTTGAATCAACGTTACATTTTCATCGTTGAAAAGTCAACGTTGAATCAATATTGAATCTAGATTTATCAACGTCTAAACCCATTTTCAACTAATATTCAACGTTTAAACAACGTTGTGTGCCTGCTGGGTCCATCCTTAGCCTCAACCCCCCCCCCCCTTCATCCAAAAAAGGAGGACAGAATCTGAAGTTAAGAACATGTACTTTTAACAAAAATCTAAAACAAAAATTATTCTTACATTTTCCCCTCTCATATAACTGAACCTTCAAAGTTCAAGGCTACTTTTATGCAAATGTCGACCAATGGCATTGAAGTTTAGGGACAAACCCTCATGAATTTTCCTTGCATGGTCATAATGCCCCTACATGGACATTCATCTTCAGCCAATCAAATACTCATGTGTATCGCATGAGAACCATTTATCTATCTTATCGTATATAACCTCTAGAGCATTATTTGTATAATACTTTGCCTTATTAATAAAAATAAAAGGAACGACAAAGCCCCAGAAAATTATAGACCCATTACATACGTATCTGCATGGTAAAATTATTTACATTTATTTTATCCAACGATTAAACAATATTACTGAAGAACATGATATACATGAACTCATAAAAAATCCAAAGAGGGGGGTGGTAGATCAATTTATTCTACGATAAATAATATTTTATTTTGTTTTGCACTCTGCATTTGACAATGATCGTATGAAGAGTAGTCTTTAGCAAAAGGTTATTCAAAATGGTATCACTGAAAACTGTTTTGATGTGATATTGAAAATGTACTCTGAAAGTAAATCGAGAATAGCGGTTAATGATATCTTTACTGATGCTTTCCATGCAGAATAGGAATAGGACAAGGGGAAAATCTATCACCATTTTCATTTGCTCTATTTCTTGATAATGTAGAATCTTTTTTGATCACACATAATAACATTGATGTTTCAACAATATCATTTGTTATACCTTTAAAGATTAGTTCCTATATAAATCTATACTTTAAAAAAGTCTGACATATCCAATGTTTTACTGAGCGATCAATTAAAATTCTATGTTTGACTGCTGAGTGAGATATTGGACCTGTCGATGAGATGTTGGGCCGCTTACGTCACAGTGTGGGCGGGGTCAGCTGTATTTTATTTGCATTCGATGAAGTTCGACAGAACTTTACGGAATTGACCAAGTTTAAACCGCAGTGCGACTGCACGTAAAGAAAATTTACATCTGTTATGTCAAAATAAAAAGTAAAAGGTATAACAAAACATTTATTGACTGTGTTCTCGGGCAAAATGCGTTTTGTCGACCCCTCGAACCAAACTGTTTGCCAAACGGCCTCAGACAAACAGTTTGGTTCTTGGGTCCGACAAAACGCATGTTGCCCTTGAACCCAGTCAATAAATGTATAATGATATCATGTTGTATTTTGTGATATAGACCATTTAGTGGCATCTTAATTTCTTCAACAACTATAGTACCTTTAACACCTTGAAAAACCATAATTATGCTAGTTACTGTGTTACCCAAAATGTGTCAATCAATTTATTTAATGGTAACAGATACTTCTGTTTAAATTTGTCTAAAAAGGATGGCGACCTATCCATATTGTAATTATTGCCCAGTATTTATTTTTAACTATATTCATTGGAAATAAATGGTTTTTCAACTCTATGAAAGTGTGAGTATGGAATCACCTTAACCAATAGTATTTGCATAAATTATCTTATACACAGATTTCTACTTTGGAGGTGGGGATTGGGGGGTTCCAGTGAACAGCAAATTTAACCCATTCTTCTAAAGGCAAAATAAAAGAAGGAAAGAACAATCAACTAAAAGCGAAAAAGTAAATTTTGGATGTAATAGAGGGAAGGCATGACAATGACCCTCTCCCCCTAAAATAAAACAGAATGTGGGGCATGCATGCAGTTCCCAATTCACCTCAGCTTGCCGTCTGAAACATCCCCTTGCGTATTTATTGTAAAATCTATAGAATTTGAAATAAGAGAAAAATTGTAAAACATCAGACATAAAAAACCGTTTGATGGAGGTTTTAAAAAGCTTTGAGTCAGGCCATTTTTAGCCAGTTGGTCAGGTGAGGGCAAACACACACACACAAAAAATCCTATCTTGAAAACTCTACATGTAGGAGGAGTTATCCGGACAAATGATGTACCCTATATATATGCAACATTTTGCAAAAAAAAAAAAAAAAAAATTAAAAAAATTAAAAAAAAAAAAATTAAAAATAAAATAAAAAATAAATAAATAAATAAATAAAAATGAATAAATAAGTCCAACATGTGGTATTTTTCCCATAAATAATCAAAAATCAAAATCAAAGTAATAAGCACCTCTTTGATATACATGTATGTACAATTGATCTGCAAAATAAGTACTACTTCCTTGAAAACTGTAGGTGGAGTTATCCGGACAAATGATTTACCCTATACATATTTTGATAAAAAAGCAAAAAAGAAGACTAAGTTCATCAACTGATGTTTTTCTCATAAAGTATCAAAAATCAAAATCCAAGTATAGTTCATATAAAAAGGTTCCTATCTTGAAAACTGTAGAATGAGTTATCAAGACAAATGATGTACCCTAAATATGCAATATTTTGTACAAAAAATTAAGCTCAACAACTTTTTTTTCCTTCATAAATTATCAAAAATTAAAATCCAAGTAATATTCACATCTCTGATATACGTACAATTTATCTGCCCAATAAAAAAGTTCCAATCTTGAAACCTGTAGGAGGAGTCATCTGGACAGATGATGTACCGTTTCGGCAGCCATCCGCCATTTTCGCCATCTCAATTATAAACGGATTTCACCCCCCCCCCCCCACAAAAAACAAAACAAAACAAAACGTTAAAACGTTATTAAAGAAGAAATAAATTGCCCCCCCCCCCCAAAAAAAAAGAAGTCATGAAATCCATAGGAAAGTAAATTTTCAACAAGTTTTTAATGCGGAATATATTGACTTCCATATCACTTATACATTAATTTAGCCGTCTTATCTACGTTACATGTAGTGTAACTGGGATGTCTACCACTTAAGGTAGACTAGATTGACATTCTTGACCCCCCCCCTCCTCTCTCCATTCATCATTTGAGATCCGCCTTTCTTTGAATCTGCGCCTGCATTATGAATACAATTTTCCATATCAATGTTAACAAGTGAATCTTTCAACTTTTGCAAAACTTTTACATGCACACATTTCAAATAAATGTCGCCATTTTCTCACGCTCTTCACGTGCACAAGCTTCACAAGTTTACACATTTAGCTGTTATCATGTTAAATGCAAGAATCTTATAAAATCGTACTTTTTACAGTGTTCTTGTAACGGTCAGCCCTGTAAAGGATCAATTGAATATCAATATAAACTGATAGATGAAGATATGTTACCAACCAGAAGTCTTTGACGAGACTGTAGTTCTATTGGTGTGTATTTTTAATAAAGAATCTTAGAATAATCTAGTATATCTTAGTATAGTTTACTTGTGTAAAAAGTCAAATTCGACCAAATATATAGGAGGAGAGGTCCAAGGGTTGAAACAGTCACCCGAGTATCATAAAACCTTGTAAAGGTTCCATGGAATGGCAATATAAAACGAAACAAACTAAACTGACGGATGTAGATACGTTGCTCAAAAACAAGAGAGACGGTACGATCAAGGATCAATAAAATAGTTAGTCTGGTAATCAGAAGCAACCCGGAAAGTAGATCTATTTACTTGCCTCTGCCAGTGCTTACTATATGCTCTAGCTCTATCACTATTCACTAAACTTAGCAACACAATATTCGTTTCACATTGTAAAGTGCAACCCCAGCACACTACCCATACATTGCCCTTTCTTGGTTTTCGAATAACATTTAATTAAGGAATAACTGTCTTATTTTTTGGATTCATGATGTGATCAATCGAGTGGCTTGCGTGATAATTTGCATAAACGCCGAAGGCGTTTATGCATAAAATTATCACGCAAGCCAATCGATTGATCATCGTCATGAATCCAAAAAATAAGACAGTTATTCCTTATATTTACATGCTCCTGATTCTGCAAATTCCCGTGCTAATAGCCCCGCTTCTGTCTCTATTTGTCCCGCCCCGCACGTGATTTTTTTTTAACCGCTCCTATCGATGAACCAGTAGATTTATGTAGAAATAAAGTATTTTTACAATTTGTAATTTTATCTCGGACAAAGACATTGAAAATGTAAATATTGTAAATTAAAAGGCGTCGTTGTCTCATATTATTTCATTCATCTATTATTTTTCAAGTCTACCTGGCCATTAAAGACTAAAGGAATCATTTTGAACTATACAATAGTATAAAGTATATATAGTATATTAGAATTTTGATGCTTTTGGGCCCACTAGTGAGGCCAAAGGAAGGCAGAAACTACGAAATTAAGATTTTTTGTTCCCCTTTGCCCATAGATCCTACATACCCAAATTGGTTGGAATTAATTCAGCGGTTCCAGAGAAAATGGTTAAATGTAAACGGACGACGACGGAAAAAACAGATAGCAATAGGTCATCTGGGTGACTAAGGTGACTTTAAAAACGTAAAATCAAACCAAGTTGTCTTTTTGTAAAATTTTAATTTATTAATAGTATAAAAACATCATTAAAAGCATCAACAGCAAAATAGTCCTCTGTCTGTCTCTCTCTCTCTCACACACAATGTAAATATTTCACCACACAAAATCACTATGTACTATTACATGCACCATGAAATTCATTAAATTGCACATATCACATTAAATGTTGATTTGATTTTCCACAAATCACAGTGTCTTGTTCTGGCAACAATTATTAATGATTTTCCGTCAGCCAAAACTTTCAGTTTACTTTCCTTGGAAATTACCCGGAAATCCTTGGTTTTGCGTGTTTCCTTGGATCGTTCCCTGTTGGCCTCTGGGACTTGGATTAAACTGCATGTTCTGTGTGTTTGACGTTGAGAACTGATTTGCCCCAGCTGTGTTCTGAATGTTAGATCTTGGGATAAAGGGGTTGTTCCAGTTTGATGCATCGGATAATCCTATTGTGCAACAGGCGATGGGGGCTCCAGCGTTTCCGGTCTGTAGACTCATGGGATTTCCACCTCTTCCTAAATCATCCCGACCTTCGTGTAACTATAAAAAATGTATAGATAATGATAAGCTAGTATTATTGCTTCTCTCTCTCTCTTTCGGTAGCTTTACTTTAATGCTATCCATATCCATTCATGATCAGTAATGAACTTAACAAAAACAGGTAAATCAAAAAGAGTAGTAATAATATATATGATGTTTATCTATCTAGCTTATCACAAATTTTGAATCTATGAATCACAAATTTATTGTGTAAGTTGGACTCTCTAAGCATGACGATTATCAATTTTAAAATGGGAACCAATTCATTGATTTATAATTTATCATAAGAAACTTCGTTTTCGGCTTTTTTATTTTTAATGAAATATTTATTAGCTGTTCATGAACAATTTTTTATTTTCACTCCAAATATTAGTCTACTGATGCTAAATAGTCATAACACCAAATTTTCTATTTTAATAAAAATTTGTGGGAAGACACTTCGCATTCTCTTTTTGTTACCCTTCCTGTACATTTATATGACTTAAGAATATAAAATCGTGACTAGAATCGTAAGCAGCTACAAAAGGTAAAATCTTTTAGGACACCACCTTGAATCCCCACTCTTTCGTTTACATCAATATACTGATTTTATTTAATTGATAAAAAATATGTATCGTAACACTGATGACACGTTTCTCCAAAACAAACATACTAGATCAACACGCGGTACCCTGGGGCAACACTTAACTTCCGTTTGGACAAGTTCTATCAAAGCGTCATCAACAGCGTTACATTGCTTGTTACGAATATTTATATAACGTTGTGTTTTATACTGATTGGATACTAACCACGATGGCCCGTCCAACGATCCCTAAGTCTCCGGCTAGAGTCATCAGTGGTAACGTCAGCTGAGCATCAATGACTCCCGCGTTTGATTGCCGCAGATTTCCCATATCACCTTCATGGCTATTTCCACTGAAAAATGCAAATACAGAACGTCATCATGTGTCGAGAGTGATCAAAATCTCAAATTTATATCATATTGACTTGCAATTGAAATCTCACATACAGTATTTGAACTTAATATTGAAAAATATTCTTTTTAATAAACACACGATTTCACATGCTTAATGATATATCTAAGATATTGTAATTCTTTTATGTAAAAAGAACCTGACAAAACAGAACCCCTTGCAGAACGCCAACGATTTCAATAAAGTAATTAACTTACGTTCCAAGATTATTGGGAGATCCATGGAATGAAAATGAGTCTGAATCATAGTGAGGTCCAGCAGCGTAACATCCTCTACCGAGATCGCCATATTCATGCACGTGAATTCCATGTTCTGTGTCGCTCATAAGACTTGGAGGAAGACCCACCACCTGAACACGTACCTGACAGGGACCACCTGTTATCTGTAATGTCAAATAAAGATTTGATGGTCAGAGATTTTCAGAAAATAAGATTTTAGCGTAATATGGAAAAAAATATGTCAAAATAAGTAGATGGAAATAAAAGTCTTATATTACCAGTTGTCTAATATCCACACGGCCTCTGACATTCGAACCAGTCTCATTAAAATAGCAGGTTCCATAGATAAAATTATTTCCCGACACCACTGTTCCGGTTCCAGGCCTTCTCCCAGGTCCTGCATTTTTAAAGAAATTGAGTTTTTTTTCATTAGGAAAAGGTCTTTTAAGTTATATATAAGTTATATAAGTGTATATATGTTGTATCTTTATTTTTATATATTTCATCGAGTAGGGGAGGGGCATATCCACTTGGAGGATAAACTTACCAAAGGGAAATCCTCCTGGCCTTACTGGGTTGTTTGGTCCATTGGGGAAAAATCCCGGGCCATTATTTGAAGGAAAACCTCCAGCATTTGGTAAAACATTTGGTCCGTTTGGGGGAAATCCTTGATTATTTGGCGGAAACCCTTGGTTGGGACCTGCATTTGGAGGAAAACCAACTGGAAATCCTCCTTGTCCTGCAGGAAGAAATTGTCCGAATATAGTATTCACGTTGCAAATAGCAAATATTACAGTAACGGCTAGAGCATTCATCTTGTGTAATTAGTTTTCAGTAAGAATTAATATCCACTATTTCGTGTCACAATGTATAGTCCAAACAAGTTCCTTAATATTTCGTGTCTACTACTGATGTCCTTGATGATAAATGGCCACTTCTCGGGTGTATCTTTCAATATAAGTCGGCAGGTGGGTATATCTTTAATGCGTCAGTGAATTCCTTAAAATAAGGGAAGTCCTCTAACTGGCGTAACGATACTGATGACGGATTGGTTCTACATCTGTGTTACGTGAGTCATGTGTCACCCTGCATGGTATTTTTCGTGTGCAAGGGCTTGTCCCACACACTGAAAAGGTGTTGGTCACGTAAACTGGCTGTTATAATTATAAAAGTTCTCATAACATCTTCCGGAATAAAGAATTTATGAATGACACACATGTATGCAACTGAATAAGAAGTAGGGAATTCTTAGGGGTGGGTGGTACAGTTTGTTAATACATTCTATTCCAATACGTTTATCAATGCATGATAATCAATGATGAATCATTTTTGTTTGTGTTGCTTATGGTATAGGAATTACGTGTTTTTTGTTTGTTTGTTTTTCTTCATATTGGCTTATGGTCGAACTGATCCCATAGAACTGTATATATACCGATGATCATGATAATCGATATACCACTAGTATGGCAATGGCTCACATCTTGCAATTCTATAAAAATATTGACTTATTCAGTTTATTACAAGTTTCAATTTTATAACAATTTTAGGATCATACATTATACATGTAATTAGAAATTTACTTAAATAAATAATAAAATAAAATAATTATTCCGGAATCAATACCGTAAGTATTTGAGTATTAAAATCATACAAAGCTCTCCAGTTTGGGGAGATAAAATTAGACCATCCTCAAAAGAAGCTTTCTCGAGTTTTCGGATCGAAAATGTCAACAGATTCCCCACCGAAAACTGTTGCTTATTTCCTTGATCCAGATGTTGGAAACTTTCATTATGGTAACATAGAAATTAGCTTTTGTAAACACACAATACATCTTAGTTTCTAAGGACGCAGTGATAAGGTTGCAGGTGTTTAAAATCTTAAGAACTAGTCCGAAATATCTGACGTTTTCCAGGCTTTTTTCGCAATTTTGATATTCTACGTGCCAGGAAAACGTCAGAACCGGCGCCATTACAAAAGCTGGAAATTTCGCCGTCTCCAACCGGAGATGATTTTCGATACTTGCAAACTGAATTAAATGCCAAACTTACAATTTATCAATAGCACAATGCTTCTAGTACTCACCAATATCGATGAAAAGAAAATATCACTCTACATTTCGATACAAGTCTTGCAAGATCTTAAAATACACGGATTGAAAACAAAACTCGAGGGTCTGATAAAATGTTTTCACCGGACTGTATATTTTATAAACAAACCATGAAAAACGATGTTGGTGAGTACTAAAGGCATTGTTCTATTGTTAAGTTGTGAATTCAGCATTTAATTCGGTCCGCAAGTATCGAAAATCAACCAGAGAATGCTGCTTCCAGTTGGAGGCGGCGAATTTCCAGTTTTCGTAATGGCACCGGTTCTGACGTTTTCCTGGCACGTAAAGTATCAAAATCTTGAAAATGGCCTGGAAAACATCAGATATTTCGGACTACTTGGGAACTTGCAGATTTGAGTTTTACATCATAATTAGACTGTTAGATCTCACGTGTTGCTTTCATTACTCAATGAATTTTACTACGTCAAAATTAGATAATGAAGGCATATTTGATGCAGGAAAGTTGCATTTAAAAAAAAGTCCCAATATTATCACCAAAATTAGGGTTTTAAAATTGGACTGCCATGTATCTAAATGAAGATAACGTCCCATATTTGATCATTTTATTTTCAAGATTATGTAAATCTAACATGAGATAGTTTATTTCGTAAGTGTACTAAACAGGTTGAGACCAGCTCCCAAATGGGATAGAATATCCCACACAGGTTATTATGACCCAAAGAAAAGAACTGTCAGTAAATATCCCAAACATGCTATGTAAATGTTGGCATTATATTTAGCATGAGAAATTCCTAATTATGCTTCCTTGCAAGGGATCAGAATTGCACATACAAAAGACAACTGAAATGTACGCATTCACACCCTGAAACTTTGCGAAAATGGGAGTACAGCAGGTGGACTGTATATCTTTTGTTAATTAATGATAGGAATTTCCATTTTAATGCTTGTTATAGTTAAAAAACACCTTAAATATTTCTACTCACCAAAGAATCACCTTTGCTCTGTCATATTGATGTGCTTGCATAATCATTGAAATACTATCCAATTAGATATTGTTTTATAAAAAAAAATGGGTCAGATTTCCACCCAGATTGTATGGTGGGCAAATACAGGCACAACAACATAATTTTATATTCAAATTTCTAGACTGTCTATGATGCTCTCTTTGACCCAACTTTTGATGTAACATACTTTCTCTTCTTTCCTGACTTTCTTTTCAAGAGTAAAAAATTGTCTTTAGCATTTTCTCTCTAAAGAAATATTAATTCATTTGAATTTTGGATGGGGATATAAAATTCATTATAGATCATACACAAAAACTAAAAATCTATTAAATAGGGGCGAAATTTTGCAAAATACATTAAATAATAACATTTTATTCTTCCTCTTTAAGATTTATATTATTGACAGTGTGAGCTCTAATGGTGCTCCATACTTTTACTTCAAAATTGAAGCGCATCTAAAATAATAATCATTTTCTGATTGGATAATTTGATTTCATGAGAATTCATTGTTTCAAGATGTCTACCAAGGTTGATTGTTGAAGAAAATCGCAGCCACATTTGTCAATTTATGGATATTAATGTCAATTTTCATTATACATTTGAAGGTCATGTGAAGGTATGGGATATTTACTTAAAGCCTGTTTGGTATATTCTATTCCATTTGGGAGATTTGTCCCAACCTGCTAAATATTAAACAGGTACATTTATTATCTTCCGATTGTAAACAGTCATGCATTCATGGCATGGAGAAGTTTTTGGTATGCAGGTTCCAGAATACAGAGTGCTCTTGAACAAATTTTCTGTTGCAATGCAAAAAGTAAACAAACAATTTCCCCCGCAACCTATTCAACTGGAAGAAGCATTCAATTCACACTCGCATCTTTCTGACTTTGGATTAATTCATGCAAGTTTTGCTTACTAAAGGCACCGGTAAGTGCCTCTGTGACAAAAAAGTTGCATAAATCAGCATTGTAAATTTTATAACTTGTTCACCCAATTAAAATATTGCTAGATTCCTATGATTTCATTAGAATTGACATTCTCAAAATTGGCATGACCAAAATGCTTGAAGAGAAATTATCAGGGGTGTGCAATTACCATTGCCCGACGCCCTGGGCAACCAATTTTAAAGGTCGGGCTATCATAAATCTATACTGCGTTAGCCCGTCGGGCTAGTAAATCTAAAATGAAAGTTTAGGTATATTTACGTGGACTGAATTGATGCGTGAATTAACTTTGTTGTAAAATCATAATCTTTAATTCGTTTTAACCTATATGTATTGTGTGTTGCAATCGCCAGACGTTTCAGTGACAATTATAGTCAATGAAAATAGGGAAAAGCACCTGACAATAACAAAGCGCAAACCATTAATTGTTTTATTTATTTCAACTTAAATGTTTTTTTTCACTTTTTTGTTATACTTATACATGTATTGTTTTCGGTAGTTAATAGGCTAGTGACTGGCAACCTCGGGCTAGTAACTTTGTTACTGCCACTAGCCTGACGGGCTAGTAACTAATTTTTGTAATTGCACACCCCTGAATTATGATTAATTCTGTTACTGCAAAAGCATTTCAATTAATTACTCCTCCAAAAGTAGCAGCATCGACCTTCCTCAAATAATGAGGACTTCAAATCATATAAAAAGTATGCTTGATCTGAGTATTACTTTTTCTTTACGAGTTTTTCCATTTTAATTAGAGATATTTGGATTATAGGCTAACAAGTTTAGCCGTGGACTTCTATTGAAACTTTATGAACTCGCATGACTAGTGGAAATATTAGTTAAGTTAAAACCCTTTGACTGCTATACTAGAAGTGTTTGTGTGACATGTATTCTTTTAGTCTTAGTTAAAATATTGTAGTGAAAGGGTCGCAATTCTTTGTTGTTATTGTTTTTGGAAGTTCCTGCTAGAATATTCAAAAAGAAAAGAAGATATATTTTTGTGAATATTATCAGTGAGTTAGCAAACTACTGAAAATGGTATAAATGAAATTTGTCAATTAACAATTCTGTTATCTCCTTTTCACTATAATAGACTTCCAAATTTCATTGTCATTAACTTTCATTGCTGTCTGTCTCACATTACTAAGAGATGTCATAGTTCAATCATATCTCTTGGATCACTTTTCAATTTGAATTTTAGAACCAATATTAGACCTTGTTAATTGATTAGTTTTGTCTCTTACTGTGGTGTGACCTTTATTTATCTTTTTTCCCCGTATATTTGTAGGACCAGGTCATCCCATGAAGCCACATCGCATTGCTTTAACACATTGCCTAGTCTTGCATTATAACCTCCATGAGAAAATGGAAGTATGTATTCAAAGAACTTTATGTAAAGATATATTGAAATATTGTGTTATATTATGAATTTTTTAAGAGTTTAATTCACAGTATATTAATGTGAAGTAAACTAAATTAACACAACAGCTAATGCGATGTAAACTAATGCAAATTAAAATTTTATTTCTACAGTAAGACTATCCAGTAATGCTATTATGACGTCATTTGAAAATCATGTCACATTGTGCAGAGCAAATCTGTTTGACATAATGTCATAGTGTCTGTACACATTTCAGTGATTAACATAACTTTCCTTTGTTTTTCACTAAAAACTAGCGTAGGTTCCTATATCTGACCACCTACATGTGGCATGTGACTTATTTTTGCCATGCATGCGTCAAAATTTAATTCGCGGAGCTAATGCAAAGTAATTTATTGCGCAGTAAATTAATCCGAATTAAACTAATTCGCATTAAATTCCTCTTGTCAACGCAGTTCAAATTTAATTCACAGTAACTTACGTTTAATTCGAATTAAACTCTCCGTGTGAACAGGGCATTAATACAAGTACACATGTTTTGACAGATATACAGGCCCTACAGAGCCTCAGCACATGATATGTGTAGATTTCATTCGGAGGAATACATTGATTTCTTGCAAAGAGTGGCACCAAACAATGTGAGCAATTTCCAAAAACAACTCAGCATGTTCAATGTTGGTGATGACTGGTGAGTATTTTTAAAATGTACCTCTTCTGTCATCTTTTCATTAAAATAAATTTGACCTATGTCTGTAAGTAAGGAAATCATGGAATGAAAATCTGAAATGACCTTAAAAACAAAAATCTATTTAAAAAAAAAAAAAAACAAAAAAAGAATCAAGATATTGAACAAACATTCCTTTGATGTGTCAAGTTGTGCAGCATTATAAGTACTTACATATTCTTTACATCAACTTTATTTTATTTCAGTCCTGTGTTTGAAGGTCTGTATGATTTTTGCTCCATGTACACTGGTGCGTCGTTAGAGGGTGCTGTCAAACTGAACAACAAAGTAAGCCACACATAATAGCCAACCCACAGATAGAATATAGATGAAATATGAAATAAAATACCCTGAATCTTTTACATTTTTAAAAGTAGTCAATGATATTTCCTTGAGTGTCATCTTTCACATCCATGCTTATTTGTCATTTGACATAGAATTCACTCTTGGTTTTGCAGCATTGTGACATTGCTGTTAATTGGTCTGGAGGGCTTCATCATGCCAAGAAGTTCGAGGCCTCTGGTTTCTGTTATGTGAATGACATTGTCATTGCAATATTAGAGCTTCTAAAGTAAGAATTGGACTTCCATTGAAAAGTAAAAGTTTGTGATTTTGCTTTTGGTACACATGGTTCATAAAAATCAGGTTTTATACATTTGTTAGTACGTAGTTTCAGAGAAGCAGCTTTCCTTATCAAATTAAGTAATGATTTACATTAAAAAAATGAAAATAAATGATATACAGTATAATTTTTTTATGCAATACACTTTCAAATGATTTTTATTAGGATATTTGTATTCCATTACTTTATATCACTTTTAACAAAACATTTATTGTACTTACTTATAATTAGTATGTTAGGAATTTTACATTTTGTTTTTGTTTTTTTCTCTTGTAAGGTACCATCCTCGGGTTTTGTATATTGATATTGATATTCACCATGGAGACGGGGTACAGGAAGCCTTCTATCTGACGGACCGAGTCATGACGGTATCATTTCATAAATATGGAAATTACTTCTTCCCTGGGACAGGTAAATCATGCTTTTTTAGATTTAAATGTCAAAAATATCAAGGAAAAGTCTTTAGAGAAATCAAATCAATAGCCAGTAAGATCTAATTAAAATAAGCGCTTTCATCTCCCTTTTTATTTATTTATTGTCACATGTGAAAGACAAATAAATAAATTAGAGTGAGATGAAAGGGCTGTATTAATAAAATTGGAGAATACTAGGTAATCTGTGAAGTGGTAATGTACAAAGCAGAATAAATAAGAAATGGGATGATGTAATTTGTAGGTGATATGTATGAGATTGGAGCAGAGAGTGGCAGACATTACTCTGTTAATGTGCCTTTGAAGGAGGGAATAGATGATCAAAGTATGTACAATGAAATTTAGCATTCTGTTTCAAAAGCTGACAACGTTTTGTCACAAATAATGCAGAAATCTTGAACACATTAATTAAAAAAAAATAACATTACAAAATTTTACCGGTAATTTAATTACATTGATTTCATTTACAAACATAGAGAATAGGAAAAACATGAATCTTCAAAATGAATTCTTATGAGCTGATTGAGCAGTGTTTATACTAGTTAACGATTATGCTTAATTTCATGTTTTCTGCAGCATATATTCAGTTGTTCCAACAAGTAATTAAATCTGTAATGGACTATTATCAACCTACCTGTGTTGTCTTGCAAGTAAGAATTTTTATATCATGAAGAGAGCATTTTCCATGTACTTAAAGAATTAGTCTGTAGAATTTTCCAAAATTGTTAAAAACAAAGATAAAATAATACGATAATACGTATTTATATTATTATTGAAATCTGCAACATAACATGTATCTGAAACTATATCAAATAACCAATATAAATGAAGATTTTATTCCCTGTTTTTATGCCATAACTGATGTACATGTATTTGATTCTAGTGTGGAGCAGACTCCCTGGGAAGTGATCGTTTAGGGTGTTTCAACTTGAGCATAAAAGGCCATGGGTAAGTGTTTCCTTCTGTAATACAGACCTTAAAATAGATGCTGTACAGTGGAGCCTAATTAATCCAGAACCCAAAAAATCCAGATGCTTCACCTTCCAGATGAAATTTGTAGGGAACAATTTATATTTGTATACATACTAAGGATATTATAGTAATCTGGATGCTTCATTAAGCAGACAGTTTGCTCGAGAACAGCATCTGGATAAACAAGGCTCCATGGTATTCAGATGGACTTTCTCACCACTGTCACAAATTTACTGCAAAATTTGATGACAATACTTGCTTATAAAAAGATTATTTCTAACTTCCGAAATACAGAAGGCACAACCTGTTTAAGAAATAAAGAATACCCTTATATACCCATATCCAGTGAGTATGTTCATTTCATGTGCTTTTATTTCTAGTGAATGTGTTAGAATCGTTAAAGAATTCAACATCCCCATGCTGGTTCTAGGAGGAGGGGGTTATACCAAGAGAAATGTTGCTCGGTGCTGGACCCACGAGACTGCAGTCCTCCTAAATGAGGAACTCAATAATGAGATTCCATACAATGGTATGTTGTTGAAACTGTGATCCAAGTTGATAATAGAGGGCTTATTGTTACAAATATTCAATGATATGGATTATATTGGATGTATGAGGTAATATGTTACATGTAGCTGTTAGAGTGATTTTTTTTGGTCTGTCTAAGGAAGAGACCTTTCTCGTCATGAATAAAATGTGTATGTGAGGCAACTTTTGTAAATGATAAAATTACCTGATAAAAATGTGAGGTTTGGTTTAGAACTGTAATAATCAAGGAAGTTTATCCATAATACAGGTATGTAAGTACATTTTTTTCAATAATTTCAGATTATATTCAGTATTTTGCCCCTGATTTCACCCTACACCCTGATGTGTCAATAAAACAGGAGAATCTCAACACAAAACAGGTACATTTTTAACACTCATTCACATGATACAGGAGCACAGGGCTTCCATCATGTATGTCAAAAATATTAATTTTGCTACTGTGAAATCATTTTTGTTATTTTAAATTTCACAAGAATTGATAAAAGCTAGTTTCAGATACATTATCTAGAGTATAGGTAGCTTATGTAAAACATTGAACAACAATCTAGACACATGTACTTAGGTATTTCGGTATCTTGAATACCATGGATATGTCGAAGTGAGTTGGAAAGCCCAACCACATTTTATTATGGTATTTAACCTCGTTAAGTCAAATCCTCAGGTATCTCGAACTTTTTCCTTGGTCCAATAGAGTTTGAGAAAAGTAGGTTTGACTATAATTCATGAAAGATGTAAGGCAACACAAATTCTGTACAGACATTTAATAAGCAGTATTTCTTTAGTTTCAATCCTAATCCCTGTTTTTTGTCATCAACAGTATCTAGACAATGTGAAGATGACAGTAAATGAACACTTAAGGAATTTGATCAACTCCCCAAGTGTCCAGATGCAGGATATTCCTCCAGATCTTCTTAGTCTGGAGAATACTGAGGAACATGATCCAGATATTCGGAATCACCAGGATCAGACAGACAAAAGGTCAGAGGCAGCATAATAAAGTTTTATTTATTTGGATTCAATCAATTTTTTTCTGTTTTTCATGTCAGACCTGAAATCACAATGTGGTCTTTTTTTTTTTTTTTTTTTTTTTTAACACAAAATTATGTTTTCCCATTGGTTTTTCTTCCCATAATGAATGAAAAGGCCTGCTTTTAAAATAGTGAAAAGTACATGTATTCTTATACTCAGATGTTCCCAACTGTCCAGCTCTCTTTTAAAAAAATCACTTCAAGAGTACATGTATTAAAATACTGTAGCAGTTCTTTAGTTCTTTTCGTTCTTTCCAGAATTGAAGCCAATAATGAATTTTTTGATGGGGACCAGGATAATGACAAAGATGGCTTCCTGGATGTCTGACAAACCATAAATATCTGAGAAACATCAGATATCCAAAGACTCTAAGGCAGCAGGCTTAATCTAAATTTGTTGTAGACCAACTATCATCTGCCAACTAAGACTGACAGGCAATTGAATGTAACAGATGGCAGTGACATGCTGATTTTATTGTTGTGAGTGGTTGGACATTGTAGATGAACTTCAGTTTTGACCAAGAATTCTCCAAGGAACAGAAAGACCCTTGATCTGAGATCAGACTTTTTTTCACACAGAATACTAGTAAATTATTGTACTATTAGAAATAATCATGTCATCTTGTTCATCATATTTTCACACACCACACACTGTATACAGGGAAATTTTCACCCTAGTTTTATTTTTGCCCCTTTCACCCCACTCTTAGGTGGGTGAATTTAAAATGGGACGATTCAAAGAACACAGTAGAGTTTCTTAAACAGAACTGTGAATTTAAAATGGGGCAAAATTGTTTGCAAGTGTAAAAGGGCAAAAATAACATGGGGCAAAAATAACCCTGTATACAGTATATCATTTTTAATGTGTTGAATGTAATGTTAAATTTTTGTTTTGTTGTGCTTGTATTATTGAAGTAATTTTTATGTTGCAAAAGAGAAGATTTGTTATGAATCAGGTCATAAATCAGGTAATAAATGTCTGAAATCTCAGCTGTTTTCTCCATCAGTTTTGTAGAGGTAAAGAAATTGCCTATTCATTAATGCTAACAGATATATTTGTTTGAAACTCAAATATGCTACAGTTCATTACATTTTCGTTTTAATGTAACATTTATACCAAATTGCAAAGTGACATAGTATTCCAGTTTCATAAATTTTGAGGGAAACTATGCATCATCTCCGTAAAATACACATAAATAATCACACAATCTTGTATGAAATTTATTTAAAACTAAAGAAGAGTTAGGTGCCCCAATCTATTTGTCCAAGAAGGAAGTGATGGAAGAGTTATTTTTCTTGCAACAAGACTTAAATACCACAGATGTAATGAAAATAAGTTCAAACCAAAAAGGTATAATGTTTGCCTTAAACTCATGTATTTTTGACATTTGTTTTGAAGTTTTTGATATGTTTCGAGGGATGAAATAGTGAAACTATACATAAGCAATTATTAAATTTGGCATTTTATGCACCATGAATTACGCAATTGTACACGTTTTAAATTTCATAAACTCTGCTCTTCTCGCAATCTATTAAAAAAAAAAAAAACTATACAGTTTAATCAATAAAAGATTTATTCAATTTGACAAAAGACTTTGGGTTCATGTACCAAATACTGTCATTCAAAACATAAAATATAGAAAAGGATGGAATTGTAAATAAATAATCTTTGTAGAAGACAGAATACAAGAAAATACTGATGTACAGAATATAGCATTTATATAAATACAACACAAGGCTTAGAAAGTGATCTATGTAAGGTTCATGGTTTAATGTCTATATTCCTGATCATTAACAGATTTTCTATCAAGGAGCCTTGGAATTAAAAGACAATGAAAACTGAATGTATAAAACTTCAAATAGATACTAAAATGAACTCACTAGATGTGAACAAATACAAAATTTGGTAAATTTGTTGTATGCAATGGTTATAAATATATGTATAGGAAGAAAGAAAAATCTTGATTATTTGTAACAACACAAAAAAAATAACATCACAATCTTTCAAAACATGCAAGATTAAGAACTGAATCACAGTCAATGATGAAATATCACAGATCAACAAACAATACATACACGTAAATCGGTGAAAAAAATTATCATAGCACAACAGAAACATTACTATACTGTCACACTACCAAACGGAAGTAATTTTTAATTCTAGTCAAATTATGAGGAAGTTGAAAACACAGACTCAGGAACGTAACGAAAGAATTACATTTTTTCCTTCCAAATGTTGAATTGCACATTTGTTTTTCTAATTATAATCCATATATGCTCAAAATGTGCGACTGATTTGTCATAGAAGCACATCTCTCTATTCTGTGTCAATTTTGAATTTAAGATATGGTATTTTAAGACTCTTTAATTATTATCTAATGAAAGACGCATCCGAAATTGATGTGAAGATAACTGAATCTAATAAAATAATAGAAAGTCTATTATCTATAATGCAGAGCATTTATTAAAGCTTAAACCCAGAGTGCATAAAATCTATAAACCCATTTGGAACCATTCCAGCATTTACAACTCAATATATATTTTCCATCTATATAATCACAAAAAATATGTCGTATAACAATTTTATGCATCTTGTATACTACAAGATTTGGATAGATAAATCTCACTGACTCTAAATATGAATATACAATATATGACCTTCATTATAAAATGATGGCAAAATAATTAAATTTAACTAAAATTAACTTTGCTATTTATAAAGCTGAACATGTATTCCTTTTTACAATAATATCAATATAAGATATAATTTATGTCAACAAAAAAATTGCTACGAATATGATGATGTCATAAGGCGAGAATCATGCGTGGTGGGAGTCAATTTGGCTAACTGCTCTTTTCGACTCAGGGTTAGTTGAATTTTCTGTTGGGTCAGTTCTGCCCGCAGGGCTCGAAGTTCTGTCTCTGCCTGGTTGCGTAGCTGTAAAAGTTTGTGAAGAGAAAATGCACAAATTGAGTAAAGTGCCCCACTATATCTAGTACAATTCTTAAATTGTATGTAATCTGAACTTTTCCTGAACTGATTGTCTTGAGAGTTAATGAATCATGAAAAATTCTAAAATTTGTGTTGATTCAAAGAAACAGAAGGGGAAAAAAGTGTATCTATGGAATTATACAGACTTGCTTGCATATGTTTTCTAGATCCATTAAAAGATCTTTTTTTTTAAATTTAAAATCCCCCCCATTTCTGGAATGAAATTTTTAATTGTATATCAAACTTCTGGGATTCTTCACATTGTTCTTAATTTTTTTTTTAATTATATAAAATATCTGGAAATGGAACAATTTCAAAAAAAATACTGGATACTTTATCATGGAAATTTTCTTCAACATGTGCAGAAACAAATGTGCCACTAATCCATTTCAATGTAGATTATTCTCATTGCTTTTTATGAACAAACTTTAAGGCCTAATCATTATTAAGTTTTCTCATCATGCATTCCACATTTAATATTTTTTTTTAAATATGCATATTCAAAAAATCAACTGATCAAACAGACTTTATGGCCAAATTATTCAATTTCTCATCATGCATTCCTCATTAAAATTTATTGTGTTTTTTTTATACAGCTTCATAGAAAAAAAATGGCATTCAATTTATTCAACTGATCAAATGATAAAATAAATTTAACAAACTTGCAGTCATGCTAGTCATAAATTCTTATTCTGCATGCACAATTTTAAAACTTCTCAGTAAGTATTAATATTCCACCTTGTTTGCATGTTGTCATAAATTAACAATAAAATACATAAAACTAGCAACAAGACAGACTGAGCAAAAGTTTATGTCACCTGACCTTGAAAAATCTATTAATATTGTGAATGCTGTGGCTGGAATTTCGAACAAAATCAGAAAAAAATTTGCACAAGTATGCCAAAAATTACTGCAGCAAGCTGTATATCTGAAGATTAATATTAGTAAAAGCAAACAAAAAGTAAAAATTTAAGTATTATCTATAACATTTTCCCTCATTTACCATACCTAATTATGTTACTGGAAAAACATAATTCCCAACAAATTGCCACAATTCTAATGGTTTAACCAATTTGGTTTTGTGTTTAAGGTATTATGTATAGTTATTGTCATCAAACAGAAATATTATTATTTCCGAACTCTCTACAAGAAGTTTAGATTTGTTTGGGACACAAAACACCACTCCACTATATATTTCTGAATGCCAAAAAAAAAAAAATTACCTCAAAACTACATACAATAAACGTGTACGTCACGAACCAAAAATAAAATCTCAGCCTGGATGTATTTAAAAGAAAAAGAAAAGTTAAAGACCAAAAACAAAAGGAGGAAACAGAATTTCTAGTGATACACGGGATTTTCTTTTCTAACCTCTATTGATATTAATTCATTTGGTCTCCCGGATTTTCTTGGATGGAGCGTAGCTCTCTAGTGTGTCTTTGCTGATAAAAAAGGGAAAATTCAGATCTTATGAAATTTTACGTAGAATTTTTGTACTTTTGTATATTTTGACTTAATGTATATTGTGTTAGTGTGATTAATGAAACAAACACAAGTGACTGGGAAAAAATATTGTTGAGAGAAAAAAAAATGTATAAAGAAATCAATCTCATTAAAATTAGATGTTCTGAATTCACTACCGCTTCTCACAAGTGATAGCGGTTTCAGAACATGTAATTTTAATTAGATTGCGAAGAAATACAACTATGATAAACAAATTTTCTACTTCTGTTGTATAAATAGCTGGTATTAGTCACAATGAATGTTTCATATTTGGGACATTTGCTGTGTGTATTAAGAAGACTGTGACAGAAATACGACTTCACACTCGAACATCACAAATGTGTACATTGACAGTTAACTATTGCCCCTTATTTTATACCTGACAACAACAGCACAAGACAACATTCAAAGTGAACATGTTACAACATACAACATCTAGGTCCTACTTCACAAAGAACATATGTCAAGACCAAAAAATCCTTTAAAAAAATTAAAACTAAGTCAATCTAAAGAACTAATAAAATAACTTTAAAAAAAGAAAGAGAGTTTTTGGTCTTGGCTTTCAGTTCTTTGTAAAACAAGACCCTGTTATATTTACAGCATGCAGCAATAAAATGATGATACAGGAGTAATGGGCAAAATTTAAGCAATTGATATGGGATTCTAAACTGGCATCTTAGTTTTCCAAATCAAAGGGATATAACTGAGGAAAGAAAAGGATAGGTGTAAATTCAGTGCCAGTGAGGGGGGCGGGTCAGGTGACATACCTTCATCTCAGCTGTCAGTTTCATCTTGGCATTCTCGAGTCGTCGCCTCATGTCATCAATTTCATGAGTCAATCTCGTAGCTTGTATTTTATAATTATTCTGCAAAATACAAAACACCAAATAAGAAATATATTCTTTATTTACTTCAAGTCAATAACAGTTGAAGTCAATGATAAAATGACATAAAAGTATTATTAGTAAATGAACATCAAAAAAATTATACAAGCAAGAAATTTATCACAGAACACTTCAAGGATATTATATAACAGGAAAAAAAATCAGTACTCTATTTTACTTGTGCTTTAAACATCTTGACGTGTAAAATTCAAGAGAAACCACTAAGGAATTTTCCCCCACTTGAGGAAAACATGGACATGCAGATAGATGTTTTGTATTTAATAACCAATGATAAATGGCTGTCAGTAACTTGAGAGTTTATACGAGTGACCTTTGGAATCTCAAACATTAATACATCAAAAATAAGAGATTTAATGTCAAAGAGACAGGTGTCCCTCAACTATACATAGAATTTAAAGTCTCAATCATAACCAATTTGTCTCAAAGTTAAGCTGTTGGTCAATCAAAGTTTGAGATACCAAAGATTGACTGTTTATATAGGAAACTAGTAGTAGCTCCAACAAACAGATGAAAACTGAGTCTCCCTATTATACAATACACATATCACAGTATGATAATCATTTCATGTTGACAAATTTGATCGGCTAAGTTTGCGTAAAGGATTTAATATAAAAAAAAATGTTCTCAAATTATATAAAGACAATGCATAGAAAATTTGACACTATGGAATGCATCACATAGAAGACAATTTGTCCCCCCCCCCCCCATCCCACAGGCCAACCAACCAATGTAAGCTAGAATATGTTACATTTTCTGTATTATAATTTAAGCATTGGGTCCTAATTCTAGTACACACTAATACTTCCCTTTTATTTTTTTTAATATACTTACACTGATGTCAAAATTTTAAATGGAGATTAGGGTCATTTTATTCTCTGGCCAGAATAATCTCCCGATTTTAAAGTCTAATTTTAAACTCCTTGACCATGCACTCTTAGATATACTGTTAAATTACAGGTCATTAGCTATTAGCTAACTAACAGCATCTATGCAGTTCTGCCTAGTGAAATACTGATTTGAAACAAATTGCCTTTGCTTAAAGGTAGATGTTAAACATAGAAATGTGGAATATTTGACAAGCAAATAATAAATTCACATACAATATTACAACTTTTCATAGATGGCAAGAGAATGACAAAACTACAGAAACACATGTCAAAGCAAAAAAGCTTTTAAAAAAATTATCAATTTTCTTGTTTTACTAAGTCAGAACTAACACAACAATGAATTCTTCAAAATATGATTTTTTATACAGATTTAAAAATGAAAAAATTATGTATTATACATGTACATGTATTCCAAACCTACTTCTAAAATGATCCCCCATATTGATCTGAATGAAAATCACAGATCACTTTAAAAGTATCCCTATATAGCTTTAGTAGTAGTAATTAGGTCCTCTACCATGCCTGAAAGGCTCAAATCGAACACTTTTACCAGAATTAGCTGGGGAACGGAAATTTGCCCCTCCAGTAGGGGAGCCACTTTTTGGTGTAGAATACTCCGACCCTGATAAGATGGAAGGAGGTTGGTATGAATTGGGACGATTTCCCCTTCCATTTGGAGACCCATTCTTTGCTGAAGGATACCCAAAACCCGATTTTGAGGGAGGTTGGTATGAGTAGGGCCTATAAGCTGAATTTACAGGGCTATGGTAGGCATTAGCCTGATTATAATAACTAGATGGTCGGCTAGACTTTTTAGATTGTGGAGAAATGGGAGGGAGTTTGGGGCTCCCAATTTTGGGAGGGATTACTTGTCCATTGTAATAATTATTAGCATGATACAGTCTGTATTCTTGATAATACTCGGTAGTATTATTCGGCAATGCTCTCTGATACCCTTGTCTGATCAAGCTTTCCTCATAATTTTGATTGTACACCGGTGCCGGTCCTGCATTGCTATAAGAAGCAGGGTAAAACTGTCCTGGTATTTGCTTGTCACCAACCTTTTGGGAAGGTTTCAAGTCGCCCAGTCTGGTGGATTTCTCTTTAGAAGGTCCTTCCAATGTATTCATTAATTTTCTATGAATGATATCTAGTTCATGTCGTAATCTGTTGCACTGCTCTTCCAAGGGTGGCGTCTTTTTCTTTTCTTCAAAATAACGCTTCTTCCATAAATCCCTGGCTACAAGAAAACGGAATAAGGAATTGAAATAGACATTAATAAGGATTATACTGCAAAGGTGAAAGAACTTCTGATACATAAACAATCATGTTGTGTCCTCTAACAATGGCGCTTGTATTTTCTTTGTTCATTGTGTTCCTAATAACAGGTTTTAGATGTAGCTATATTTCGTTCCGTTATCAGACCGATGGATTACTGATTTGTGATACAGAGTTGATTTAAAGCTTTGCACGGCTCATCTTTTACAAAAACTGTTGTATCTTAGATACGATCTGTTACTGTCTATCTTTTATGTTGATTCTTTTCATGATTTAAAGCTTTCTACAATTCCTTATTCATATACACTATCTTTTATACAATTTCTAATTTGTAATACATTTAAATTAAATTTTTTTCTTGCAAAGCCATTCTATATCTGATCAATCTACCCAACTTTGCACTTAAAAATCGATCTCAAACAAAAGTGCTCATTATTTTACCAGCACATTTTTTGGTGGCCTTGGTGGTGGTGTCCCAAGAACAATTTACAGTTAACACCATATAATGGGGGATAAATTTGGAAGCAGCACTATATAATGCATGCATTCTGCTTAAAGACAGTTGTAACTCTACCACCAAAAATGCAGGCCAAAGATTCAATTAATGTGTTCAAAAAGTAGGTTGGAGTTTAAAACTATTGATTCTTCAAAGAAATCTCCTTCTTGAATTAAGCACTTTGAATTTAAATGATATACACATGCATTTTATGCACAAAGAAAAGATATTTTACTCAAATTAGCTGAATATTTGTATTTTGGATTAGAACTGATTAGTTAAATTTTCTACAAGCATACAACATTCACTTTGAAAAATGCCAGAGGGAAAAAAGAATGCTATTATCTATACGATCTCCAAACCTTTTAAGTATCATGTAATTCTGGTATCAGTAATGGATACATTGCATTTTAAATCTATTGTAAAGATGTAGATTTAACATCCTTTGTACTAATGGAAAAATTAATTATTCACAAATATCTGAAATTGTTTAAATTTGCATTAGTATGTGCCTGACTACACACAATTCAAAACTCAAATTCATTACAATAATATTTCCTGCGGGTAAAAATTGATTGCACATGATGCACTCCTTTTCTGCATTGCTACAAATGATTAATCTAAAAATGGGTTCCTGTTCAATAACCAATTTAATTATTATTAAAGTTTTAAACTGCTGTAACTATTGACAATTCAACATTGATCCCATAGAGATATAGATATTAAAATATTGAGTGAAATTAATTCTCATGAGAATATGAACAATTTGGAATGCTAATTGCTATTTAAAACTACAAAAACATCAATATTTTAACCAAAAAACAAACGAAAAAAAAAAAATACACACTTAGAGCAGAAAATGAAATGAAAATAAAATTTAAAGTTCTTATCATTATTTTTACACACTTTGAAGAAATTTTCAGAAAATCGAGATAAAGCTAGATTTCTTCTTTCATTCAGTGGCGACTTCTCATATTCCACACAGTGTCTTTTTACTCATGTCTGGTTATTTTCATCAAATGTTACCTAACTTGGAATATTGGTTTCATTGCAGTGTGTGAGATATTAGTACTTAAGTGTACAATATGAGAAGTTAAAATTCTTTTGTTTACATTTCATGCAGAGGATGCAACCTTACCCTCTATAATATTCATCATGTCTGCAATTTGTCAAAGAAAAGAAAAAAAAATTATTGGCTATTTTAAATTTACCAATCCACTCATTACTTTATGACTGAAAACTTAGGTAAACATAACAAAATATTTACTTATGAAAAGCAGGGGTTGTCTACACTTCCTGTTATGTAAACTTATTTAACAAGAGGCCCTTAGGCCTTAAAGATCACCTGAGTAATACGAGTTTCTTAACACACGAGCAACAAGCTGCATCTGTGACAACTTTTGGATAACATGTGGCATTTATTTGATAGTTTAATACAAAACACATTCACCATCATAATGACTTTTATGATAAAATGCATTTTCATAAGTATAATCGATCCAAGTCACATCTTAGAGCCAGACCTCTGGACCCAGGAGACATAAATTTTAAAATTTATAATCCATCACAGTCATGCAAATGAAGAGTTTGCCTGGTAGATGTACAAGGAGATTTCAATTTTTGCAGTTTTGGTAGCAGGATAACTGCTCATGTTACGGTATTCATAAACAATCTGCATACTAAATGTTTGGGAGTCAAGAACAAATCAAGATTTATGATTGTGTATCATTAGAAAGTCTGTATATGTAGGTAGTAAAGAAGTACATGTAATCCTCAACTTCGCCTCTTGAACATTCAAGTTATATTAAATGTTCTTATATTTCTGAGTGCCAGGTGCTATTAATATAATTGTAAATCCAAAATTGACTCCCATGTTAAAACATAAATCTGTCTAACAGTCATCAAACACTAGAATATATATTACTATGTACACATAATAAAAAATTTTAAATTACAGAGAAAATATTTATCTGTCTCGAAAGCATAGTATATTGTAATAGTGTTTATTTCATTTAATTACTGGTAAGCTTTTTACTTTAAAAATTTTAATGTATTTGTGTATTAACCCTTTAATTAAACAAGATATTTTACCATTTACAGTTAGATAAACAAAGTGAGTTTTCAGCAATATTTCTAACCTTTTCACTGTTAACTAAAAATATCTTGATCTATAATTGCCATATTGGATTTCTGTTAATTCAATATTAAACCTCTCCAAATCACTCAGCACAAAACCTTTTTCCTAGCAACAAACCACTCGTACATATTCAGCATGCAAATATGGTACACCCAGAAATAAACAACACATTGGACACTCACAGTAAACCAGCAGATGTTGGCACACTAACAACCAAAATAATTATTTGTTGTCACCTTGACAACCTAGCAAAGATTTCTGTGTCAAATTAAAAACACATATAAGGATTTCAGGGTAGGGATGGTGATTATTACATGTATTTAGACCAAAATAAGGATCAAGGTATAACTTGCAGCAAATAAAAAGTGAAATTCTTAGAATTTTTTTCTTCTTCAAAGAACTGAAAGCAAACTTAGGGAAAGGAGGTAACTTATAATTCACGAATCGGTAAATTTACACAAGGATTACTAAGCTAGCAATTTCACAAATACAGCTTTAGCATTATTTGATTTCTGTCATTCTTACCATGATTTCGACGATTCTGAGTTTTCGTCTGCATTAACTTGGCCTTTTTTACTAGCTCTTCCCTTTGTTTCTCAACAGCTCTCCGGGCTTCACGGGCAGCTTCCAATTCTTTCAGAAGACGCTCTTCTGCAAATAAATTTCAAAAGATATCTCCTATTGAGAGTAAAAAAATTAACTCACATACATTATTCCTGAAAATAAACCTGAAAATGTGCAGGTTGTAATTGCAGTATGCACTTATAGCATGCAAAACACATCCTGAACATAAAAAACCATGCCCCATGCAAATTGAAGAGTGATGTCTACTTCTATGTATAAGTACAAGTATGTATTAATTTAAAAAATGATACCATTTAATCTGGAAAAAAATGTATTCCGTTGAGATGGGATAATTTCATTGTGGCATTATGTTTTAAATATTTTATTTAACCTGAAGAGAAATTTTGAATTTTTAAATTTTATTCTACTCTCTACATTAAGATACAGGAACACATCCAAGTTGGACATCTTAGTTAATAAAATGGTTCTGATAGACTAAATTGGTTTCTGTAAGAATAAATCTTCTGAATGGTTTAATTTACTTCTAGAAAAATTTAATTAAAGGTACACTCAAGGAAGAAATTTACAGCATTCCTATATTTGTCCAAAAGGAAAAAAAATCATTATTGCAAGGCCTCAATTTATGTTCCTTTTTCAATGAGAAATTTACATGGGAGATTTAAAATAGAACAGTAGTTGCAACAAACAGGATAACAATGAGTATTTATGGGTAGACAATCAGTATTTATGGGTCAGCCTAGAGTTTTCTTAAATCCTTTGATCCTATCATCCTTAGACTTGGACAATTCAGCTCCCTGCACATGGGCTCTAACTTTCAAATTTCTTTTTGTGTACATATTTGACTGAGTGTGTGCAACCAAAACCATTGGTTTACAGAACCTCTTCCCAAAAGCATAAATTTCTCACTCATTTCTTTCTTTGTTTCTTGTTTAGAAAAGGATTTCTTGGTCACAATAACCACTGGAGACTCTACAAATAGGTTCACATTGTCATGATTATCTCTAGACTGAAACCAATTTTTCTCAACATGTTTTTGGCATTAAACAAGGTGACCTACTTTCAGCTTTTTTGTTTTGCTTTGATGATTCTGTTTCATGGACCTGACTTGAATCATTTATCTGAAGTGGAGGTGGTGAAGGGAATCTGTTTAGATCCTAGAAAAGAAAAATCAAATTATTAGCTGGTAATCAATTAAGCTCATAATACATTAAATTTAATGATAACAAAAATATTGAAAGAAAAAAAAAACCATACACACATATTACTTTACTTAAAAGATTTTTTCTGTTTTTCATCAATAATCCAATTTGATGTGGTATTGTAAGTTATACATAATGATGGAAACACTCTCACATCATTCATTAAGTGCATTTGTGATCTGTTAATATAATGACCCAATCATATGAGCATTAATGAAGTTGACTCATGCTGCTCATGATATCTACTGTTGTTTAATCACTGCAGTGGTACATATAGAGACACACAATCAAAATTCGGGTGAATAAATATAAACCAATGTTAACGCTGAAAGAAATATTTTAATGCACACTTTATGCTGAAAAGAAGGTTAAATATTGTAAATTTTCATTTTTCAAAATCACAGGAAAACATTTTTCAAAAGTCATGCAAATTAAAACATTTTAGTCATAAGTGATAACTCTGCTATGCTGGTTTCTCAGTTCTGTGATATTAGTCAGGACATTTTGTGCATTTTCAGCGTAAATTAAACCTTAGGCTTCTTCAGTCTCTTATTGGAATCTATTTTCTCATCAGCTCCAATATCACTAACATCCCCTTGATAGCCACTGTTAACATTGGAAATCAGAGTATCTGCTTCTGACTTCTCAAAGGAGGACTCTGTGCCAATCTTACTTCTCATCTCAACAGAAGCTGACTTTTCAATCTTTACTTCTGGGTATGTGGAACTACTTTTAACTTCTCCAGCCTCACTTCCACGATATGTTGACTTGGCAGGATTTTCCACAGCTGGTGTCTTATTTTCCTTTGATCCACTTTTGACCTCATTTGCTGAATTTCTAGGTTCTTTTTCATGATCTGACAGCTGGGCAGGAGTTTCCAGGGCTTTTCTCTCATTGGCTTCTGAACTTAAAGGTTCTGTAGCTATCTTTGGAGTGTATCTCTGATCAGATCTATTGTTATTTATATTGGAGTCCTCTTTTTTACCCTCTGGCCTTCCTTTATCAGACCAAGATACTTCCTTTTTCTTCCCAGCAGATGATCTCTTTCCACTTCTCTCTGTATCTTCCTCTATTACACTCTGTACTAAGGAATTTCCATTTATCAGGGATGACCTCCTTTCACTTTTCCTACCACTCTTCTCAGTTTTAAAACTATTCTGACTATTCATATCCTCCCTGCCGATAACAGATCTGTCATTTTCAACAAAAGTTTTGTTATTTTCAACAGACCTTCTGTCATTTTTGCTCTGAGAACCGGAGTTCTCGGAATTAACAAACGTCCTATCATTTACAGGAGGCCTACTCCTTTGACTGTTTGCATCAGAGAGGTATCCATCACTACGAAAACTTCTCACACTTCTTGCATCCCAATCATGGTCACTGTGGTAACCATTATCACCTATCTTCAGTCTGTTTCTGCGATAACTCTCCTCCTCTATCGTTCGATTGGATGAACCACTGTTGACCTTCACTATGACCCTTGGAGTCAGTTTACCATGAATTTCATCATTTATTTGAACCACTACATTAGAGTCTTTCAGAACAGGCTTGGTTCCTTCTCTTGGAAAATCATTTATATGAGAAATTCTCCCATAAGTTTCATCATATTGTGATATTGGTGTATCCTCTATTTGGTTCCTGACATCCTAAAGCATGATATTGTGAGCATTACATACTATAGCTTTATGCATATCAATTCAAGCCTCATCTCTGCCTCTAATTAACATATTACACACAATATTATACATGATACATGCATATTCATGCTGTTACATACAAAATACTGCAGTCTGTTTATTTTGAAAATCATTCACATCTTTAAAGAGGTATCCATGCATATTTACAGCTACAAATGTAAAATATGCATGACCTGCTAAAAAAAAGCAAGAACATCTATGCATGCAATAAGTAAATCCCATGTGTTACCGTCTCAGGAAGTTTCAACCTCTCCTGATCGTAATTCATTGAATTTTCAGAATTTTGGGGATCCTTCCTTCTACCTTTATTATTGTAAGAATTTCCAGAATTTTTGTCATCCCCAGGAACTTTCATTCTGTCTTTATGACTATAAACTGAATCATCGCTATATGGTGGAGTATGATCACTGTGATAATTTTTCGAATCCTGATTAAACACTGGATTTCTGTGTTGCTCCCTGTTAAAATTTTCTGAATTCTGATTTATAAAATGGGGTCCCCCGTTCTCCCTGTTGTAATTTCCGGAATTCTGATTTATGAAAGGATTTCCTCTTTGCTCTCTGTTAAAATTTTCTGAATTTTGATTCATCAAAGTATCTCCCCATTGCTCTCTGTTAAAATTTTCTGAATTTTGATTTATCAAAGGATTTCCCCTTTGCTCTCTGTTAAAATTATCAGAATTTTGGTTAATCAAAGGATTTCCCCTTTGCTCTCTGTTAAAGTTTTCTGAATTTTGATTTATCAAGGGATTTCCCCTTTGCTCTCTGCCATAATTTTCCGAATTCTGATTTCTCTGTTGCTCTCTGTTGTAATTTTCTGAATTCCGATTTATCGAAGGATTTCCCCGTTTATTGAAATTCAATGAATTTTCAGTAAAAGCAGATGATGGACTCTGTTGATACTGTTTTCCCTAAAGTGGTATTAAAAAACATCCACCCATTACTACTGGAACTACTTCAAGTTCAATATCTGTCTACAAACATCATTCAATTCTAATTTTAATTTAAATTCTGACATAAATCAATGGTTAAACACTACATTATTGTCACCTGGTCAGAAATTCAATCAAATGACAGACATCTGATTATTTACAAATTAATGATTATTAATTTTCACATCAAACTCTGCATGCAATTGTTTGCTTTACCCGTGTTGTTGTTCTCGACCCTTCATTACTAGCAATTGGTGTATTTTCGGAGCTTACAGTTGAAACCTGGGATATTGAAATTTTAGACTCAAGATTACACAGATTAAGAACACTGCACTACATAATGAATTTGAGTTTTGAGACAATATGCATGTTCTAACCATGGCTACTGCTATGATAGGCCAATATTTAATGAACTGACGTGCCTTGACATAAGACAAAAGATTTTTCCACCATGTAAAATGACAATGGCCTTGAAAGTCTGCTGTATTGGATATTCAGGAGAGTATAGAATTGCCATGCCATGAATGGTTGTACTATTGATATTAAACAAAAATCTTCATTGAAAAGATTAATGTCCGTATATTATAACAGCGTTGTATGGGGCCTTACAATTAAATTGGTGTTCATCAATAAGCATTTCCTCACAGACAGACATAAAGAATATCCTGTTGCATTAAATGATAAGAGAAGCACTTAAAAGTTTCTCTTATCCCTCAGATAAAGTGATTTCTGTTCAAAATCAAATGAAATAGGAACAAACTTTTACTCAATTTTATGATACATGCGTCATTTTGTCAATAATTGGAAACCAAATGCCTGGGTGTCATACGAAAAAATTGCTTGTCATTTCTGCAAAATGACAATATCAGTCTGTGTCATGATGATAAAATATTCCAAAATGATGACAAAAAAATCAGCAAATTATGTAGTTATCCAAATTATCTTATACTGATGGACGACCTAACCACTAGGAAAATACCTTGTACGAGAAATCGATTGTAAGATTACCATGTAATTTGGGACACATCAAGGAGTTTACCTAGGTAGAATGGACTTTCTCTCTGAAAAATCTGATGGCATGATTGCATTCCAATCGACATACATCAAAAAGTTTTATTTATCTTTTTTTTTAGGTTGATGTTGGAATTTCAAATTGATTATTGGGAAGTCACCTTTTAAACATTAATCTCAATGTTTCCGAGCCTTCGATTTTATCTGCCATTACCTGAACACTGGAGAAAATGATGGCACAATAAACAGTATTTCACTTTTATGCCACCCATGGTAAGAGACATTAGCATTTGCTTTAAATGAGAATGTGTCACTGGCCATTAAAATCCTAATTCATCATTTCAATAAATCAAATATTCCCTGCTTACCTCATCTGAACCTGTTAACTGTTGCTTTGGTATTCTCTCCCTCTCTTCCTCCAGGCGATGCCTTTCTTCCTCTTCTCTTCTCCTTTCCTCTTCTTCTCTCCTCCTTCGTTCCTCCTCTTCTCTACGCCTTCGCTCCTCTTCCTCACGGCGTCTTCGCTCCCACTCATCATCATTCTGATCCCCATTTCTTTGGTGATCATCTTCGTTGTCAGGGTGAAGACGCTGATGAAGGTCATCTCTTCTGTCTTCCTCTTGTTTCCTTCTGCAAACATTCAACAGACAGATTACAGGTACCAATATATTGTAAGTTACAATTCTTTCACACTTACCGGTAATCAATGCCAATTATGTCTTGGATCTTTTTCTGTACAGTAAAACACGCTCACAACAAACAAGCTTAAAATGAAATGACAGTTATAGTGAAGTGATTTTCATTCTCCATGACTTTATAATATATTGTGAACTTAACGGATATAATGAATTACATTTATAAAGAAGCAAAATCGTCCATCCCTGGCACTTTGTTATAAGTGTGTTTTACTGTATACCAGTAATTCTGTCAAAAATATAGAAAAAAATAAACAGATGGAGATGGTCAAGTTTGGCCATTGAAAAAAAAGGTCTCACAGAGAGACATAGATGAGGCATTAAATATGAAATATCCAATCACCTGTCTAATGCATCAAAGTGGTCAACTGGTGAATTGACGTTAATCCCTGAATCTTCGTTGGTGTGGTTAGTATAGGTTCCTGATGCTGGTTCCCGGCTCTGGTCTGCTCGCTTTCTGTGATCTGTTGGAGTAGTTGAATACCTAGGAGGAGCCCTATGGGACTCTTCCCTTGGGGTTTGATTACGGGGAGTTTGTTCTCTAGAGACCTTAGGACGGGGAGGGGTTCTTGGCACATTTTGGGGAGGGGGTGGGGTGCGTTTGTCTCTGTTAGAGCCCCAGGATTCAGATAATCTTTGACTTTCTGCTTTTATGTCACCATTGTGATTGTATTCAACCCTGCGTGTTGGGCTACGGCCAGATCTGATTTTGGGGAGGGGGGAATAGTGGTATGGGGATGACTGATTATGCCTATGTTTAGATTTGTTGGCTGACCGACGTTCATCCTCACCTGTTGACAAGAGATGGAGAGAAAAAAACACAATGTAACATCTACCGTGCAAAAGTTTACAGACTGGCAGAACATTGTATAAGAATATCAGCAACTATTTCTATATTTTATTCAAATTCCAAACAGATTGTTTGATTTTTTTTTTTTTGAATAAATATATTATTGCAAATTTTTATGAATGATGATATCTGAAGTTAATCTAACCATTATTAATTACAGATTCCAACTTTCACTCCTTTCTTCAATCCATATCATAATGACATAGATATGTCTAATCTGAAGAAATTGGCCAGATTAGACAACATTCTGGATTAGACAACTATTTAAACAATTAAATTTACTGGAAGCAACTAGAATTTTACATTATAATAGACAATATTTCAGAATACACGACATCCAGATTAGACAGGTTTTACTGTTTATCATATATGATGATTCAGGCATAACAAATATTCATGTAAACAATTTTCAGGAGAGATAATCTATAGAGGTAGTTCTTTTTCAGTTTCGAAAGCCATAATTCACATTCCCCACTTACAATGTTCTTCAGGCCTCTAACTTTCATGCAAAGTTCAGTTAATGGAAAATTTAGTGCTTCAGAAAGATGATTTCATATTTATCATTTTCTATCTTTTCAAAGTTGCTGATATACTTTTACAAGACAAGAATCATCAACAAAAACATAAACATTGAGACATTCCAACATCAAATGAATTCATCTCCAAGATAATGCATGGCTAGAAGATTTAAGAAGAAAACAGAAAAATCAATTTTAATAACAAATGAAAATCTATATACTGAAAGCCTTAAAAAAATGAAAGCCTAAAAAAAAAAAGAAAGAATTTCTCTACCTTGCATCTCCTTGAAGATTTCTCATATGATGTGGATCAATAAAAGTTCAATTTATTATCAGCTCAGAAATTACTTTTTACTTTAAGAATGAAATTATTAAACTAATGAAACTTCCGTATAATAAATGTAAAGTTAAATGTTAAAAGAAGCAAACAAAAAAAAAGAAAGCCTGTGCAAATTGGTTGACAAAGATATAAGTAATATGTACATATTTCTTGAGAGATAATTTTTGTCCGCCTTTTGGTCTCTTCGGTTCTGAACTTTGAAGGTCGACTTTTCTCTTTTTTCACTAAAATTGCCTTGGATGAATCTTTTTGCTTGATTGCCACTTTTACTTGTGAAATTTCTAGATAATCCAAAATTTGAATTATAGGAAACTGAAGAGCAATCGTTAATTTTGTTGTAATTAATTTTTGTAAACATGAATATTTCAAGAAACATATACATGCATACTGGGGTGTAACAAAGCAAACCTGGTGCAAAACTATCATTAATTATTCAACACAACACATAGTAACACAATTATGAATTTATTTCTTATTCATATCTTTGTGTAGATTGTTTTGGGAATAAAAAAAAAAAAGAAAAAGAGGAGAAAGATATGAATCCATTATCAAAAGTTTAAAAACAAAAAAAGGAATATGTCATGAAGTTTCAAATTTATGAGAATGAAACTACTCTTTCCCAGTCAATTCTATGGGTGGAAAACCTGCTTTCAAATAAAGCAGGGGTGATTCACAGAAGTTTCATTTCATTAATGAAATTATTTAAATTAATACATCAGGTGAGAGATATAATAGATTCCATCATGTTAAATACCAATTGATTTTGTAAAATTAACATGGAAATTCCATTAGCAGCAGGTTAGATTGGAGAACAATGAATTATATCTTAGATTTTTACTGATATTGTTGTTAAAGGAAATATTGCTTTAAAAAATGGCAGATCCTTTGACAAAATCTATGTTTTAAAATTTTGTTTACCCTCCAAGAACTAGTATTCAGCTAAGCTTGTAAAAAAGCACCATAAAGCTTCAAATGACAACAAATATTTGTCTACTACTGGTATATTAGGTAATTTTTAATAAACAATTTTCAAACTTATTTTTCCAACACTAAATGTCTAGTATAATACAATGTATAATTAAATCAAATACCATTGTTTAAAATACATGTATTATGAAAGAGATAAATAAGATATATATTTCCGATTATTGTGTAAATATCAGTGCAAAATTAAGAAAAGTGCAGTTAATTATCTACATGATAGTTTCAGGGGGGTAAATCTAAAATGTTGAAAATACTTGTGTTTGAACATTCTTTAAAAAAAAACAAGAAATAATATTAAACATATTTTTTTAACAAATTAATTTAAAAAAAAATCGGAACATTCAGATTGTTGTCACTGCCTTCTGCCACCAGATATTGAGTAACCATTGACAACCATCACCATAGATACTATTGAAATGAAAGGTTCTCAAAAAGATTTCCATGCCCCATAAAGTTTAAGATGCATAGTAACTACTTACAAGAAATTTATTTTTAAGGCCATAAGTCCCCAAAGGCTTCACCATGATGATGATATGCACAATCAAAATGACATAAAAATTATACAAACAACTGGGAAGTCAATTCATGAAATTCAATAAAACAATGAACAATATTGATATAATGTTTGTCTTGAATCCATGCAAATGATCATTCAAAACATGTAATACAATGGTTCAACTCTGCAGGTTTTGTAAAAGAATCTGCCAAAGAGATAACATTTATTTCCTTTCAAACATTACTTTTATTAATTATATTCTCAATTTTTTTTATATCTTTAATTAATAACACAAAATACAAGATAAACAAACAATTTATGTTTATGTGTGTAGCAAACACTTCTATAATGCTCAAAACCCCTATAACCAACTAGGCCTATGTTCAAACCATATTACAACACAAACTTAAAATGCATACACTAGCCTATATATATATATATACTGCCCTTGGAACACAATCTAAACACCCAAACCCAGGGGGTGGGAAGGATTGCACATGCAGTGTTCAAGTGAAGGTGAGCAATTAAAAACATTTCAAAATAATTATATCAAAAATATAATTAATGATAATTAATTCTACATCATTTCTAAAATATCAACAGCAAACGCTTGGTTAAATATTAATACAAAGGCAGTCATTATCTAAATATTTTGCCAAATGCCAATCAAAAAGTTAAATTTTATAATACACTGTACACTGAAATACGTCAGTTAATTTGTGAACCTTATATGATATCCATTCTTTGGACAACAAGATCTTAATGATGTACGTACAGTGTAAATTATGAAATGAGTCTATTTCTTACTTTCTGGGTTTTGGGAGTATGGTGATTGTGGCCGCGTTGACGTCCGACTGCTCTCTCGGTCATCTGGACTGACCTCTAATAAATACAACTCAGGAGCATAAGCCTGAAAATGTACAGCAGAGATTGGTAAAACTTTATGGTGTCCAAATCAAAATGTTTAAAGTTTTTCATAAGTAGGTCAAACTCCAAGGTCAAGGTCAAAAGGTCAGAATTGTCGATATGCAAACAAAGTTCTGGTCACATGGAAAACATGTGAAATATGAAAGCCCTAGCACCAATCATTCAAAAGTTATGGGCAAATTTTAAAAAAAATTCAAAAGTAAGTCAAACACCAAGGATAAAGGTCAAAATTGCTGGTACCCAAAGAAAGGCCTTGTCATAAGGAATACACAAGTGAAATATGAAAGTCCGTACTAGCTTGTTCCAACCATTTGAAACTTATGGCCAAGGTTAAAATTTTTGCAAAAGTGGGCCAAACTCAAAGGTCAAATATATTGTACTCAAAGAAAGGTCTTTTCAAAAGGAATAAACATGTAAATTATGAAAGCCCTAGCTCCAACCAATCAAAAGTTATGGGCAAGGTTAAAGTTTTTGCATATCAATAGACAGACAGACAGAGCAAAAACCATATACCCTTTAATCTTCAAATACAAGAGCATAAGAAAAGGAAGAGATGGCCAAAAAAAAAAGAAAACCAGAAGTCTCTGACGAGACTGTAGCTCTACTGGTTGTATTTATAAAGGAAGATAAAAGTAGCACTTGGACTTGAAACTTTGCAACAGCAATAAACAGAATAATGATCCTTGGTTTAGTCTCTTTTGTGGCAAGATTTATTATTATATCAGACTAAAACTGTAGGAGGAGTAGCCTTTTAAAACAATTTTACAGAAATTTTGATTTAAGTAACCATGACAACATCATTCAACAAAATCAAAAAACAATAACACCAATTATGCATCTCTGTAGTCTACTTGTATGCCACATTATACTGAAATCAGACAAAAAGTGTAGGAGGAGTAGCGTTTTGAAAGTATTTCAAGAAAATTTCTATTTTTAGTAACCATGGCATCACTGTTCATCGAAATCCGAAACTGGTACAGAGAATTATGTATCTTATTGTAGTTTACTTGTGTGCTAAGTAATACTAAAATCAGACCAAAACTGTGGGGGTAGATTTTGAAGGTATTTCAAGGAAATTTCTATTTTTAGTAACCATGGCAACAATGTTCATCGAAATCAGAAAATCAATACAAAGAATTATGTATCTTAGTGTAGTCTACTTGTTTGCCAAGTTATACTGAAGACCAAAACTGTAAGAGGAGTAGCATTTTGAAAGTATTTCACAGAAATTTCTATTTTTAGTAACCATGGCAACACCATTCATTGAAATCAAAAACTGATAAAGAGAGTTATGTATCTTAGTATAGTCTACTTGTGTGCCAAGTTATATTGAAATCAAATCAAAACTGTAAGAGGAGTAATATTTTGAAAGTATTTCACAGAAATTTCTATTTTTAGTAACCATGGCAACACCATTCATTGAAATCAAAAACCGATATACAGAATTATGTATCTTATTATAGTCTACTTGTGTGCCAAGTTATATTGAAATCAGACAAAAACTGTAGGAGGAGTAGCATTTTGAAAGTATTTCACAGAAATTTCTATTTTTAGTAACCATGGCAACACCATTCATTGAAATCAAAAACCGATACACAGAATTATGCATCTTAGTATAATCTACTTGTGTGCCAAGTTATATTGAAATCAGATCAAAACTGTAGGAGGAGTAGCATTTTGAAAGTATTTCACAGAAATTTCTATTTTTAGTAACCATGGCAACACTGTTCATCGAAATCAATAACAGATAAAGAGAATTATATATCTTAGTATAGTCTACTTGTGTGCCAAGTTATATTGAAATCAAATCAAAACTGTAAGAGGAGTAGCATTTTGAAAGTATTTCACAGAAATTTCTATTTTTAGTAACCATGGCAACACCATTCATTGAAATCAAAAACCGATACACAGAATTATGTACCTTATTATAGTCTACTTGTGTGCCAAGTTATATTGAAATCAGACAAAAACTGTAGGAGGAGTAGCATTTTGAAAGTATTTCACAGAAATTTCTATTTTTAGTAACCATGGCAACACCATTCATTGAAATCAAAAACCGATACACAGAATTATGCATCTTAGTATAATCTACTTGTGTGCCAAGTTATATTGAAATCAGATCAAAACTGTAGGAGGAGTAGCATTTTGAAAGTATTTCACAGAAATTTCTATTTTTAGTAACCATGGCAACACCATTCATTGAAATCAAAAACCGATAAACAGAATTATGTATCTTATTATAGTCTACTTGTGTGCCAAGTTATATTGAAATCAGACAAAAACTGTTGGAGGAGTAGCATTTTGAAAGTATTTCACAGAAATTTCTATTTTTAGTAACCATGGCAACACCATTCATTGAAATCAAAAACTGATAAAGAGAGTTATGTATCTTAGTATAGTCTACTTGTGTGCCAAGTTATATTGAAATCAAATCAAAACTGTAAGAGGAGTAATATTTTGAAAGTATTTCACAGAAATTTCTATTTTTAGTAACCATGGCAACACCATTCATTGAAATCAAAAACCGATATACAGAATTATGTATCTTATTATAGTCTACTTGTGTGCCAAAATATATTGAAATCAGACAAAAACTGTAGGAGGAGTAGCATTTTGAAAGTATTTCACAGAAATTTCTATTTTTAGTAACCATGGCAACACCATTCATTGAAATCAAAAACCGATACACAGAATTATGCATCTTAGTATAATCTACTTGTGTGCCAAGTTATATTGAAATCAGATCAAAACTGTAGGAGGAGTAGCATTTTGAAAGTATTTCACAGAAATTTCTATTTTTAGTAACCATGGCAACACTGTTCATCGAAATCAATAACAGATAAAGAGAATTATATATCTTAGTATAGTCTACTTGTGTGCCAAGTTATATTGAAATCAAATCAAAACTGTAAGAGGAGTAGCATTTTGAAAGTATTTCACAGAAATTTCTATTTTTAGTAACCATGGCAACACCATTCATTGAAATCAAAAACCGATACACAGAATTATGTATCTTATTATAGTCTACTTGTGTGCCAAGTTATATTGAAATCAGACAAAAACTGTAGGAGGAGTAGCATTTTGAAAGTATTTCACAGAAATTTCTATTTTTAGTAACCATGGCAACACCATTCATTGAAATCAAAAACCGATACACAGAATTATGCATCTTAGTATAATCTACTTGTGTGCCAAGTTATATTGAAATCAGATCAAAACTGTAGGAGGAGTAGCATTTTGAAAGTATTTCACAGAAATTTCTATTTTTAGTAACCATGGCAACACCATTCATTGAAATCAAAAACCGATATACAGAATTATGTATCTTATTATAGTCTACTTGTGTGCCAAGTTATATTGAAATCAGACAAAAACTGTTGGAGGAGTAGCATTTTGAAAGTATTTCACAGAAATTTCTATTTTTAGTAACCATGGCAACACCATTCATTGAAATCAAAAACTGATAAAGAGAGTTATATATCTTAGTATAGTCTACTTGTGTGCCAAGTTATATTGAAATCAAATCAAAACTGTAAGAGGAGTAATATTTTGAAAGTATTTCACAGAAATTTCTATTTTTAGTAACCATGGCAACACCATTCATTGAAATCAAAAACCGATATACAGAATTATGTATCTTATTATAGTCTACTTGTGTGCCAAAATATATTGAAATCAGACAAAAACTGTAGGAGGAGTAGCATTTTGAAAGTATTTCACAGAAATTTCTATTTTTAGTAACCATGGCAACACCATTCATTGAAATCAAAAACCGATACACAGAATTATGCATCTTAGTATAATCTACTTGTGTGCCAAGTTATATTGAAATCAGATCAAAACTGTAGGAGGAGTAGCATTTTGAAAGTATTTCACAGAAATTTCTATTTTTAGTAACCATGGCAACACCGTTCATCGAAATCAATAACAGATAAAGAAAATTATATATCTTAGTATAGTCTACTTGTGTGCCAAGTTATATTGAAATCAAATCAAAACTGTAGGAGGAGTAGCATTTTGAATGTTTTTCACAGAAATTTCTATTTTTAGTAACCATGGCAACACCATTCATTGAAATCAAAAACCAATACACAGAATTATGTATCTTAGTGTAGTCTACTTGTGTGCCAAGTTATACTGAAATCAGACCAAATCTGTAGGAGGAGTAGCATTTTGAAAAATTGTTTACAGATGGACGGACAGACAGACAGACAGACAGACGGACGGACGACGGACACCTTACTATCGCATAAGCTCTTCTGGTCTCTGACCAGTAGAGCTAAAAACTAACCTGTAGCAAGCATGCTAGTCTGAGCACATGATGTCTAATTTCTTTTTTTACAAATCTTTTTAAAAGCATTACCATCCATTATTCAGGGAAGTAATATTTGCCTTGAAACACCTTATATATCACAGCTAATTTAGTAAATTACATTTCCTGATATACCCTGCCTTAAGTAAATTACATTTTGCTGAAAGGTGCTAAAGTTTTTTTTATACCATCAAGGTTTCAATACAAGAAATTTCAAGCATTGCATGTCAGCATCCCACAAATTAATAAATAAAACAATAATCTATATCTTATTTCCAGCTCTCTTAAATCCTCCAAGAGGAAATAGAGCATTAACCATGTTTCACTGAGAGAAAATGGAAAACCTCATTTACAAGCAAATAAAGCCTTATAACCTTTCGTCAGTAAATTGACAGGGGACATTACTCTTCCTATTGCTATTTTATTTCCATTTATCAGGAATTTTAAAATGCACTTCCCAAAATATCAAAGCCATCTTTAGACATAGTCTTTTTTTACCTGTCATGAAATGACCTTGCTGATTTCAGCAAAGGGTTATTAAGTGCCGTAGAAATATTGAATTATAATCTATCAATGCGATCAAGTGAGATTTACAATGTAAAACTCAAAAACCCTGTGTGGTCAGAAGTCAAATGTCTCGGTGTTCTTTTAATCCAACTTATCCATTTAAAATATGCATAACATCTAAGTTTCCTAAATTTTAGAAATGCATTTGTCAATGAGATAATTTCTACATCCCTTTGATTTTTATAAACCACCCTGTAACCCTGAATTTAGCGACTGTACTTAAAAAAAATTGTGTTCTTATACCAAGATGACACAACAGAGAAAATTTAATCCTATATCTACTACCTAGGAAAGGGGGTAATAAACTTCTGTTTGAAGTTAATTTTTAATACATGCTAATCAAAGTACCTTTAAGAAAAAACCTATTTGCATTTAATTTATGTCTGAGAGTCATGCAATGTACATTTAAGGATCCCAGCTGATTGCACTGTGTACAGTAATAATCCTTTTTCAACCCACGAATCTTTGAAAAAAAAAAAACCTGAAGTCATGCACTCACTGCACCACAATATAGAAACATACACACTTTGTATGGTATCTGCTAGGATTGTTTAAACTATACTTTTCAATAAATTTAGCAAAATCAAAGACACTAGCACATTCATTGAGCGACCTGTTCAAAGCTCAAATAATTTCACTCAACTTTAATGATCACCAATTAGCAAACTTAATTACTTGGCGACATCCAATATCTTTATTATTGCTAATCAATGTCTTTTTACACTGATGAATTGAGGTCTTATGTAATGTCAATTTAGTATACTAGGATTTTAAGAGATCTGCACTGTTCTAGGGGAAAAAAACTAACTGAATTGTCGATCAGGCAGACAAACAGGCAGGGTCATACAAGGAGATGATGATGCTAATCAACCCAATAAAAGGTAGAAAAAGTAGAATAAGCTTATTAAGGACCCTTTCTGGCTCCATTTTTCTCTTCTGACATTCAGAAGTAAGCATTAGTTCATAATCAACATCAATGATTATATGCCTATTTTAAAATCAATAAAACAGCTCGTTGCATAAGCCTGAACAAATCATGCATATACTAAGTGTGCATGTGTAACAGAAAAGGGGAAAAATGTTATGAACCAGACCAGGATTTGAACATGGGTTCCCCTGAATCACTATCCAAGTGTTAAACTCACTGAGCTACTCAGGCCAATATCCACTGTTCATAAAGCTCAGACTACCACATTTCTCCCTCCTTAAACATTCTCTCACCTCAAAGAAACACAACAACACAAGTTCACCTTGTCAGGAATTACTAATTTACATTAATAACCTGAACAAGGCCCCCCCATACACTGGCCACCAAATGTAGTACGAAAGGCAGAATAAATAAAGAAAATACATGACTGCAGAATCGAACCCAGGACTCCTTTATCACCAGTCAGGTGCTCTAACTCACGAGCTACCCAGGCTGATGTCCACTTTCCATCCATATATTTTCTAAGGTCCGTTCCGTCACATTTTTCTCCCTTCCTGTTACATTTAGTGACCAGGATGTGACAGGTGAAATTAAGACCTGCAATGAAAGAGCCTCGGTTGGTGTCTTCAGAGGCCAAGACTGGAATGTGGTGGTCAGATGGATTTGATTGCTGGTGGCTAGATAGCTCATTTAGTAGAGCATCTACTAGTGATTCAGAGGGTGTGGGTTCAAACCCTCATCTGGCCCTTTGCATTTTTCTCCTTGCCTGAGGTACACATTTGGGTTTGATTTATGTACACATATCTTAAGCTAAAACAGGACTATGATTAGCCATACAGTAAACTAAATGCTGAGCTAACCCTTGATTTAACCAGAGCCAATGGAGTGTAACATGTCAGATGCAACATCTTAGAGTATGTATCTATCTGAGTACCTAGAGATGCACCATTTGTGCAAGTTCTTTTTTGTTACTAACTCTTTACATAGCGAATACTTCTAGATCATTGCTTACCTGAGGTGGAATAAAATGCTTTGCTTTTAACTGGTATTCTTGCTTTTGTTTTAACTGAAAACAAAAAAATAATAAAGATTATTAAAACATGGTAAAAAGATCTTTGCAAGGCAAATTCTGTAAGCAAGAACAGAATTCTTGCTTATAGAATTTCGGTTGCTTTACAGATTTTACCACATAAATGATAACACACTACTCATTCTGGAAGTATCTTGTTTCAATGTTAATATGCTCTTCAAGATGTCCACAAATTAATGAAGTACAGTTAAACTAAGATATTTCAAACACCACAGGTAAGTTGAAGTGAACTGGAACTCCCAAAAAACCTTTTACGAATGTTTAACCTCAATATCTCAAATCCTTGAATATCTCAAAAAATTTTTCTTGGTCCCATCAAATTTGAGATAATGAGGTTTGACTACACATGTATAGGAAGAATTTGGTAGCTGTGAAAACAGGCCAAAGCAATTCAATATTGCCTGCAATTTATTCACCGTCCCATCAACTTTGAGATAATGAGGTTTGACTATACATGTATAGGAAGAATTTGTTAGCTGTGAACATAGGCCAAAGCAATTCAATATTGACTGTGTTCATAATATGGCAATTTATTCACTATCACTTCCTCTGTAGTAAATTTCTGTGTGATAACCATGACACAATAATTGTGCTCTATCACAAATCTAAACCCTTCTGCCATGTCTGCCAGAGTCAACAAATAAATCTCTCCAATGACGTCATATAGACAAGTCAAACTCACACTTTTTATACACTATCTTGTCAGAGCACCTGAAATTGATTTGATTTTTTTGTAGTTGTAGTGCAGTCATTTAGCAAACTTTATTGAAAATGTGTCAATTTTCTTCAAACTCTTATGTAACTGCTAATATCCTTTGAAGGGCCTGTTTGGTCCTTTTGAGAAAATGTTTGGAAAAGAACTTGAGAATTGAGCAAACTAAGCTTCATTTATAGTAGAAGAACCAATTTTACATACAAATATGAATCACTGCCAAATCAGGGCCCCTTAATACATGTATCAAAGCCTTTTATTAGAGTTCTTGCCAAGGTTAAAATGTAATATATCACAAGGGAAAAATGAGTCTTGAATCTAGAAAGTGTATTCAAGAATTCAAAAAAGTTTAATGTGGCAAACATAAAAGTTTCTCGTACATCAGATTTAAATGCACCGTCAGGGACATAATTTAATTTCTATAGATTAGTAAAACCACATTGCATTAGTGAGTATGTTCAAAAATAAATTATGTTTAGACCTATAGGTTTCAACAGATTGATTTTTTCAACCCTTACAAGTCTATACACTGTGAAATATCACATAAAAATCAGTTTATCTTTGAAATATAATGGACCCTAACCAGTCATTTCAACTTTCATGTAGTTAATACACACTAGCTAGCAATGGGTGGAACACAAGGGGGTAATCATGCAGCAAATGAAAGTCTGTCTAACAAAATGGATCACTGAACGAGACACAATGTTTGGATAGGCATTGTCACAACTGATAATACTTTTTAACTTGTTATGGCTTTGTATAAAAACTATCATAATTGCTGATCTTTCCAAAGCACTACCATTCAAACAGGGGTAGATTTAGAAACATTATGAAGTACTTAAATTACATACAGTACATTTCATCAATGTGCGACTACAAGTCCTAACTTGTTTTATTCTTTTTTATCTTTTGACATTTTTATTCATTACTTTTTACCTTAAATCTGCAATGCATAAAAATTTACCGCAATAAGTTTATCAGATTTAAAAAAAACAAAAAACAAAAACAAGATCCCCAATATGCACATCAATCCCCAATTGTTACCCAATTGTATTTTTCCTCCTTTATTGCCAGAGCTACCCTCAATTCATATTACAATGAGATATCATCTGGCTCTTGCCCTATGTTACTGGGATAAACTGGTATAATGCTTATTAGATAAAATAAATAGCGACTAGACATTTAATTATCGATTTAATAACACTTATTCATACGCAGAGCTTAGAAGATAAATATTGAGGATTTTAATGACAATGAAGACTCCATCGCGATCCATTCAGTATTTACATACAAACTGCAAGCACTACAAAAAAGGCAATTCGATATTTTTCGCTATTCAGTGATATTTGGGAAGTATGGTTGTTTCACTTGATTATATATATATGTACAAATAAGCAGGCACCATTGACCAAATTCCTGGCACACTAAGTAATCAGAAAATGGCTCTTTTGTTTTAAAAATCTAAACTGGACTGAAGGTTTTTGAGGTTTCTATATATGAAGCTACAGCATACCAGTGTTTAACAAATTGACCAGCTTACATACTGCTCTAATATATAATATCTGCAGTTTACCAATATAATTGGATTGGAAGTTTAAAATACCTATTTTTGGTTTGTTTGTATGTACCAAAGGATTTATGGATGGTGGGTTCACTCCATTACTACAATACATCCAGTTTGAAGAATGTAAAAATATTTAAAAGATTGTATTTATGTTTTATGTAATGCACCCTACATGAAAAGCTTGAAGAATGAAACGTTCGGAGGAAATAAATAGAAATCATTTCCTCAGTAAAACCTAATGTGTAATTATGCATCATTTGTCATTCAGTCCAAAGATTTTTAGCAATATTCCTTTATAACATGGAAATTAAAAAGTGCATAATTATTTTCTTTCTCCCTCTCTCTCTTGACATGCACAGCTTAAACAGATTGCTAGAGGGAGATTTTTAGTACATTTAGAAACTCAGCTATATAGCAAGAAACCATGATATACTGATCAAATTCCTATAAAACTCTGCCCAAAATTTCAATAATTGAATGACCAAGGGTGCATACCTTTTGTAATACAAAAGTCTGTCTTCTAGTGTCAGAAGATAAATGATCAATGTGGCAGACAGGTCAACCAATATATATATAACATAAAGAGAGAGGATCACCCCCATACACTGTGACACACTAGTAACTGAGATCAAACAGCAAAGGTGCATGGTTTGGAATTATTGTAGAATTTCTATGAATTCCATTACACCTGTGCAAATAAGACCTTTTTATTCAATTCATCTGCTTGTCTACTTCTTGACATGAAATCATTAAATCAAACTGAGATCTATCATACTCTCTCTGTTTCAACTTCAAAAAAAAAAAAAAAAAAAAAAAAAAAAAAAAATTCTACATGAAATTTTAGGAAATAAAATTACCATGTGAATTTGTCATAACTAATGCAAGTTTATGTAGCCCCCAAAACATCAGGCTCTTGAATTTTAGGTAACAAGAGTGTTGAACAAACACAGAACACCCAACTAGAGTGAATGGCCCTACTGTAAATGAACAAGTTTACACGTAGAACACTCCCATATTGATAAGCCCTCGAAAAACTAAATTAGACCTCTACAATTTTATACCCATATCTAAATTCTTGAGTACAGTAAACAAATCATATCTGTTTCAAACATTGCTCAAGGTTTGCATGTGACTAAACATGGTATCAAGAGGCATTAGTTCATAAAAACAACATCATTATCATGATTTGCTTAACATGAAATCTATCTTTACCAAAAAAAAAAAAAATCACATGAAATACAAGACAATTGACTTAAGTTTAGCTTTAAAACTTTAGACTGGAATACAGTACACTTGTCTAGGTGTCTGTGTAAAGTGAGCGTATATAAATATTTTGCTAACACTTTCTTGATGCACTTTTGAAAAATCACATACAGTGTATTCCTTTCAAGCATTCATACAAACCAATTTAGATTAGAGATTTTTCAATGAGACCAATATATATGTGAAAGCATTAAATGCTTAATTTATATACCTTAAACCTTCTCTCTCTAATTGATAAATAAATCCATCATTGCATATTAAGAATTCCAAGTTCTGGCCTATGAACTTGACCTTTTGAATTCAACCTTTGAACCTTGATTTGGGCATTGTTACACACAGTCTCTTTGTTCATAATTCAGAAACAACATTTGAAGCCTTTTTTATTTGTGGATTTTAAATATTATAGCTCAAACAAACAGGTATTCAAAGATTATGAAACCCATCTTGACCAGTAAGGCAAAATCTTGACTCCATTTGTTACAAGTCAATTCATCATACATGTAACAGCTAGGCCTTTTATCCAGCAAAAATAACCCAGCTGATACTACATCCCAAGCAAGTCTGGTACTATGCATCCCTAGATGTATCATTCATACAAATTTGGTCCAGATAGGGATGTGACCTTCTCCAATAACTTTAACCTGGTCAATCATCTAGAACATATAGGTCAGATGCAGCATCTGAAGCATGACTGTGGTAAGCATTCATAGTTATATCATCTATGCAAGTAATGGTCCAATTACTAATAGAAGATGCTATAAAATTTTAACCTGTGAAGCTCACACCAAGAGTAAATAGCATAAGCTTTCCATAACTTTGTCAAGGTGGGCTAAAAATCCAATTTGCTACTATAGATATTGGTGACCTTGACATTCCAAATAGGGCAATTTTATAAGTCCTTTTTGGGACATAGTCCACTTTTCTTTCTTTTGTGAAATGAACATTAATTGGGAAGTGTACTTTTGTGAGATCTAATATAAAATCATCTAAATGACCATTAAAAAAACAAAATGCTTAATTTAAACCTACTTACACAGTTTTTCTGAACCAAAACTTTTAATCTGAGAAGTCAAAATATAAATATGGGAGGGGGGGGGGGATAAGACAATTGTCCATTGGGATTAGATAAATGAACATCAAAGCTTGAAAATATGGGACATAGCATTAAGAGAGACATGGAAGAACTCAGTGAAAGGCTTCAAGATTGAGTGATTTCCATGAAAATATTTCTATTTATAGATGCAAAGACAATGTGAATTTAGTACAACCAGATCTTCAAAGAAACTTTATTGAGGGCAGAATTAATTCGAGGCTTTGTAGTGACACAATATCCAGTATCAAAACATAAATCATTCAGTCTAATTACTAAAAAAAAATTTAATTGACCTCTTTCAATTACTACAAACTTAAAACTGAGAAGCTTGAGGCAGAGCTTGTGACCCCCATCTGTGATCTCCAGTAGACAGAGAAAGAATTTTAATAACAACCAAACACCACACAATAGATTTACCCTATGGCACCATGCCTCAAGTTAAGGGGGGTGTTGGTGTTACAATTTCAAAACGGTGCCTAGTACAACCAACGTCTGGTGTTGACAACCTGAGAGATGACATTCATTGTTATTGTTTAATATGATCCACTAGAGGCAGAATACATCCTCAAGTTGGAACAATGCCTCTCTCATTCCGAGTGCTCAAGATATTTGATCTGCATGAGCACCCCGATTTGATGATATCTACGCTTTTTGTATATACTGGCCATTAAATTGTAACCTTCTATATTTGCAAGACTCAAACAATGCTTGGACTTCTTCAGATATATTCAAATCGTGATTTTGTCAAAGAAAATAGAAAATCAACTGATTTTAATTTGTGTGCAGGCCAGTACTGAAAGAATTGGCTTTGCCGTTAACAACTTGGATCAAACCATTCTATATGTGGTGTTTAAACAATTTACCTATAAAATTAGCATACATTCTCAGTTTGGCAATAAAAAATCCATTTCTTAGTTTAATTGTGTGCAAACATTTAAAGCCCCACAATGCTCAACCTTTGAATCAAACAAGGTTCAAAGAACAGATTTTTCCTGGTACACCCCAGAACAAACAATCAGAATACTAAAACCATCCTTTTCACTTGCACTTTAAATGTAATAACTGTACTTTTGGAAAATCTTTGTAAACATTCATGGCGGGTAATGAAACAGATGGCTTACCCTTGTGATGCTGCGACCAACACTTTTGAGGAACACAAAATCTCGGGGGAGCATCTCCACCCCAACCTGCTGCTCCAGCTCATCGCGGAGATCATACAACAAACGCTCAGGATGTACCCTGTAAAATAACATCTGATGCTGACATTCATCATCATAAAAGTTTTCAGAAGTTAACAGATACATTGTAATTACATAACACAAATGATGCAAAATGTGCCTCAATTATCCATTTAAGGTAAAAAAGTCTTCTACAGTTGTATAAGTGCTTTCCAAATCCTTGGTTTTAACACTGCCCTATAACTCAAGATATCGAACTGGCAAAATGAAACAGGGTAAAGAAATCAAAGTAAAATCTATCTGTGGTACCCATGATGGAATACTGCTTTCTGTGTTACATGTTACTAATGCCTGAACGAGGAAGTGTACATGTAAGGCTCACCTGATAATTCCTGCTGAGATCGTCTCTGTTACATTCTGATTTAAAAAGTTGTTATAACGTTCCCTCCATATCTCTGGTGGTACTACATATACATGGAGATCTACCAGCTGCAAAACACAAAAAAATTCAGTTTTTCCAATAATTTTTTTCATGCTGTGAAGCACATTAAGTATTAAAATTTTATCAACATTTTCGGCATAAAAATTTTACTTTAAAAGTGAATGCTAAATGTTCTCATGAAATGAAAATGTGTGTGAAGCATGACAATCGATCCAGAAATCAAATTCCTATACAGAATTTTTTTTAAATATTTGACCTCTACATATTTCTCATAGAGGAAAACTGTCATCTTCACCTTCAATTATTATGAAAATCCATGTTGCAGAAAGACAGAGGAAGAAAAAACCAACAGTATATATTACATGTAAGTATGCCCTGGCCCTCTATGTAAATATATCTATATAACAATGTGTATATAAAATTTATTCAGTGATGGGATAGACCTTATGCATGGTTATTTCTTGAATGCTTAGCCTACAGAATTTTTCAAAAGATATATGCAACACAAAATAATGCAGAAACTCTTATTTCCTCCTCTATAATTTAATTGCTGATTGACAATTGTGCATTATGTCAATATTTCTGCATCAAATTGCAGTCTACATGCCACATACGTTGCTCACGTGGCACAGTGGTTCAGAGCATTTGCTCTCGAGTCGAGTAGTAAGGAATTGACAGCCTTAATTCCCACTGTGGGATATGGAGGCCACTGTCCTTCAGATGAGACCATATTAAACAAGGTCCCATTTTGCACTAGGTGCTGACACAAAAAAGATCCCTCATTGCTCAAGGGCCATAAATGCTGAGTACATGTTGTAAATGCTGTAGCACTCCACCAGTAAGTGGTGGGTCTCAATATGAGTGAAAAATTCTCGTAGGGAAGTTAAACACTCAAACATGCAAAATACAGCTGTACTTAATTGTCAACACCATGCATCTCAATATTATAACTGATTTCAAAAAGCTCAATGATCCTTAAAATTATTCATCTTGTTAGAATGGTATTTTTATTCAGGATATAAGTTGTTTTTCTGAACATTTCGATGGTACTGATCTGGATGTATATCATGCATACTAGCTAGTCTTATTCATAATCTATCTGCAATAAATATGTTCTCTTCTAAAGAACATTTAATTTAATATGTACCAGTAGGTCTCAGCTTTTGTGAGATCATTATCTCTATATGGACTTAATTGTAATGTCTTAGCAAAATACTTTAGAAAAAAAAAATTAAATAAATAAATTTTAAAAAAAAATACGGTTGAACTTCGGTATCTCGAACATGGATATCTCGAATACCATGGATATGTCAAAGTGATTTTGAAGTCCCAAGAGTTTATCACTTAAGTATTTTACCATGGATATCTCGAATCCTTGGATATCTCGAAGTATTTTCTTGTTTCTGTGAAATTCGAGATAACGAGGTTTGACTGTAAAAGAAACTTCAACTACTAAATACGTTTGATCAGCATGCAGTACCATTCAATTGACTCAGAATTTGATTACAATGTATCAGCAAGAGAGGTCTCACAACAAAGTTGAAATATATATCACATGATCTTTGTAAAGTGCAATGAACTCAATTCCAGTATGTCTTTCATGTTCTCAGTAGGCTAAGTTTCTCATTTCATTAATTATGTTTGTTAAGAGGGTTCCTAATAAAAGATTTCATATGATATTGAACTTTAAAAAAGAAATCAAGTTAATTGTGTAGATTTCAAAGTTAAACTTGTCAGCGTAGAGGAAACATTAGCAACTAAATAATAAAAGTTGTTTCTTAGAGAAGACAATTTCTAACAAAAGATGTGGTCAAGTGTTGTATATGACAATACTATATATGATATAATATAAAAGGTACCATAAAGTATTCAAGACAAAAATAATTGTTGTAAAAAAATTAATTGCAAATAACTTGTAGTTTAATTCCCATCCATATTATATCTTTGATAAAATTAAGAAATAGTTATTATACTCTTTCAGGAGTTGTGTTTAAAACACCAGTCTGAAGGATCTATAAACCAACTGCTCAAATTACACTTAACAGGTTCTAAAAACCTTCAAGAATTTTGGTAGAGTATTTGCATGTGGAAATTTAAATACTAGGTTAGTTCTATGTGTAAATGAAGATTATCAAACAAAGTGTAACTATTTAAATAAAACAGGTGGGTTCACTGTTGGTTTCCAAGTTACTTTATTTACAAAATAAACAATGGGTAAATAATCATTCAGAAGTTTTAATTTGGCAATAACCTACAGAATGATTAATTCGGAAATGTCCTTAAATTGAAACTGAAGCTAAAGTGAGAGTCAAGACCATAAAAAGAAACATACAATGCATCAGGTTTCTGTCAATTTTTTTTTTCAAAATCTAAAGCTGCTAGTTTCAAGTAAAAAAAAAAATGTCAATGCCAAGTACATCATGGTACATGTGCAATATATTTGATATTTAACCTATGATAATCCAGTGAAATTTAAATGACGTGAATAAATACGTAAGCCTCTAAGTCTATTAGATCCTTAATCTGCAATTCTACAAAGAGTTCTGATGTAACAAGTCTAGAGAAACTTTGGAATCATGAAGAAAGTCATTTTGAGGAGTATATCACATGTTAGTGTTGTGGATAAATAAAACTTGTACTCAAAAGACGTCACTATAATCCAGAATCGGAGTCTTCAAGTGCTTCAATCCACATTACATTAAAGGTGTGGAGAATATGTGTACGTAGATCATTACAAAAATCACTAAAATGACTCGAGACCTTGAAAATTCTATAAACAAAATTAATGGACCAATCAACCTACATATCTTATGTCTATATAAATGATAAATTGGTCTAAAGAGAATTTATCCTTTCTAAAGAGTTCAGTTGATGTTCTAATGTTTACTAAGAAATTAAGACTAATCTTTGCCACCATTGACTTCTTCTTAATGTTTAATCATATCTTGAGGAATATACAAGAGTCTGCTATAGAATGTTTGGACAAAATTTAGTCCAATGGCTTAAAGACCCCAATCTTGACAAGAGATCCCGCAATCCCTGGACTGTACCTGACCAGGGAGACAGTCCCAAGATTACCACTTAAGTATCATCCCTTGACAGATCCCTTATCTGTTCCCTAACTGAAGTGGCATCTCATTTATTAATCATCAAAAATGACGGGGTACATTGGACTTTGAAAAGTTAATCACTAAATGTATTAAACATGTCTTTCCTGTCAAAGGTGTATACCAGAGTCTACTTAATAACCAAAATTTATAAACATATGCATCAGGTCTGATCTGCCAGATTTTGGGAAAGAACATGTATAGACAAAAATCTTAATCCTTAGAGAAAACATCAAAAGTATTCCAAGAAATTTCCTTAAATTACTTTTAGCTTATATATGTACCTCTGTAGATGAAGGTCTCTTGAACGTTTTATATTTTTCCATCAAACTCATGTTGGACAGATTATGACTTTCTTCAGTGACAATTTTTTTTCACCTCTAATTATACAGTTCCAAAGACCAAAAGTCCTTTTTTCACACTTATTTTTAATCTTCAGTGGCAAAACTGAGCACATACAGTATTTCCCTTAAATCCATACCAAGAATACATATCAGTTATCAGAAGTTAACACCTATAAAATCACCAAGTACACACAGTTAAACTAGCCCCGAAATACAAATGGCTTATGTTCTCTCCTTAATGGGTCTTGGTTGCTTGCTTGGCCTCGCAATCATTGAATATAAAAATTTGATAGCTTTCCTTGTATCAAAATACTTCTACACTGGAAATAGTGCTGGGGGATAAAAACAATGTTTGCCTAAAAACACACATAATCCTGGATTCAGTTATGACTTGTCAGATTCCAATACAGCATTTTCTTGTCCGTAGAACTTGAGCTTGGGATATATTGAAAAAAAATCCTCTCCTCCCTTGTACGTCTATTCAATAAATTCTTGCTGGAACATTCCTCTGGCAAGGGAAAGCGAGAGCTTATTGATACAAAATCACCATTCACCTAGGTAGATTGCAATGTTTGTTTTAAGTTATATATGGGAGGATAAATGAAAAAAATCCAATGCTGTTAAACCGTTTGATAGTAATACTTCCACTTTTTCAAAAGAGAGTGAATGGCCATTAGTCGGGATGGATAATCTGTTGATTTAAAATTTAAAACATGCACTATGTGCATCAAGTAACGTGTAATTGAAGTATTGACAACTATATATCGCTAATATTAAATGGTTACACAATTATAGATTTAATCCTCAAGATCAATATGAAGAATTTTTTTTTCTGAGACAATGACTGACTGATTAAACATTCAACAGACCTTGCTCATTAAATATCATATGAATACCGGATTAAGGTTTTAACATGTGCCAAACCTGTGAGGTTGTTTTGATATTTAGGGATGAGTTCAAAAAACTGATTTGCTTTTAAAAGCACTCAGCAAAATTTATAATGGAGAATGTATTTTCAGGGTTATTTTAATACCTTAATACACAAATGTACAAGCAATGTGCCTCAATTCAAAATATCAAATGCACATAAAAGAAACATTCATAAACAATAAAGCTCAATACAAACAAACTTCCATGGGGACTCATTTTTCCAGTGAAAACCCGCAAGGCAAACAAGTATTGTTCAGGAATAAGTGTCAAATTAAACATTAACAATCATAAAAATACAGTCAAACCTCATTATCTGGATCTCAACAGGACTCGGAGAATAAAAAAAACTTTGACTGGTATCTGAGGAATCATTAGATATTGAGGTTAAATCATGAAGGAAAAGTGGTTGGAACTTCAAACTCACTTCAAAATAAATACAAGTCTGAAAGTGAGGTGTTCTTGTACAGGGAAACCCATGTGTTGCACAGAATCTGTGTCCCACAGAGACAGTTTTTCAACTTATAAGATTTGACTGACTGTGAGGCAGGTTTTGCTTCAAGCTAATATAAATATTTAATATAAATTATCTTATGGCTTTTTACAGACCATGTTCATTCATACCTTCCTCTGTCCAAATTAAATTGGAGGGATTCATGATCATGATCTAGCTTGTGTCTTTTTCACTTTAAAAGGATACTTAATTAATAGATATCAGTTGGAATTGTACTCATGTCAAACTGAGATGATTTTGTCACTTTTGAACAAGATGCAGTAAGTCTAATATAGATGTCATTTGAAATCTTTGTGTCAATTAGATTTCATGCAATGTTAATTAATGATTTCAGCTGGACTTTAAATTAATAGTCCCGTTTCATTTTCAATGTGTCATCACTGTGATAAAGAAAGCTATGATTTTATTAATTTTTTCAGATTGAGAAACTTGGGTAAAATTACAACTGAATTGTGCATAATCACATTTGATTCCAAATTAGAAACTAATATGAATTGATAAATAATATTGTAGAAACATTTTACAGAAAATGAATAGGGCACACTCATATATAATTCCAAACTTTTAAAATTCTTAAACAATAAAATCATATTAATAATGTAAAATATTGCTAAGTTTGGTTTTAGTCTCCATTTTGGCTTCTAAAGTAACATCAGGAGATTCGATCTCTAAAGATCCCAACCTAGATAAAGATGATCGCACAGTATATCCTGTGGCTCCAAATATGGTATGTCACACTGCTTTTTAATACTTTTCACTTAAAAAGCAGTGGTATGTAGCGATGAGGGTGTCTGTCTGTATGATTGTACATTCGTTACACTTAGGGGTAGCCAATGCCTTATCTGCAACTCCTCCTAATACCACTGAATAAAATTAACTGAGACTTTCACGGAATCTTTATTACATAGTGCCACTGTGCACTTCCTATTTTGCTTTTTGATCAGACACATAAGAAAACATGGACACTGCTATTCTTTCTATAATATCAGGAGTACCCATCATTTATCTGCAAGTCCTCCTATACCACTGAATAAAATTCATTGAGACTTTCAAAGAATCTTTATTTTATAGCACCATTGTGCATCTCCTATTTTACATTTCAATCAGACAGATATTTTGGGGTTTCCCATGGTAAAACATGGACTTTGCCGTAATACTCGTTTGAGAGTTGGGGCATCATTTTGTAAGCTCAGCATGTGCTCACAGTACCTCTAGTTGTCATGGGTTTCAGAAATTTGTGTCTCCATATATGGTTAAAAACACAGGTTTATAGCATGGGTTTTAGAATCTGTGAGTTCATATAAGGAAACTTGCATGGCTTTCTGGCACAGGTTTTGTAAAACCGTGCGATCAAATTTAAATATTTCAGCCAATATCCCATGCCTTGACCACTTTTGTGCACCGCTTTCAATACATATTTTACGTAAGAGCAGGATTGCTATAGTTACAGGTTTCTGAAAGCGGAATCTGTATCTGTGTTGTGTCTTATCCAACTGGACTGTTTCCTACACTGAGGCAAGTTGAATAAAATAAATAAATCTTCATTTGTTTTCCCAGAAATAAAGTCAGTCTCCAAGTGAAATGTTCGGTTAATAAAAATTATGAGGATAAAAATATTAATCCATACCTTCTAAGTAGTTTTTACGGGCAAAAGATATTGGAAAAAGATCACTGTGCTTGATTAGATCCATGATTGGATATAATTATGTATATTCTGATCTGGAGAAAAAAACCTATAGGTGTTGATGATTACAGGTACTCAGTTTTGAAAATTTTCTCACATTTTTTACCATATTAGGAGATGTACTAAAGAGCTCAAAGCATTTGTTCCATGCATTGCTTGCTTTTGTTTCTTTCTAAACTTTTTTCTCCTGATGATGGATATACCCTTTGCAATCTTGCATACAATATCCTATGATATACTTGAAATAACTATTGCTCTCCACCCCCACCCCCCAACCACCACCACCACCACTAAACACATTGCAATCATTGCCAGGTCAAAGTATAATATCATTGCCTATTTCTTTCTAGGATATAACTTACCAAACAAAAATATCTTTAAAAATACTTCCAATTTTATTTTTTTTTTTTTGTTTTACTAGACACCCCCTTATAGGCTTTAGATTAGAAAGGCTCACATAACAAAAATTCATTGAATTTCAACTGTGACCAAAAAAATCCCTTATATAAACTATAAAATGAAAATAAAAGGACCATAAAATTCTATATTTACTCAAGGAATTATAAAATTCAAGCTTGGAAGTGTGTCATTTTTTCAAAGCCAAAAAAAAAAAAGAGAAAAATCTATGAACTTCTGAAGTATATGACTTGATGACCACTTCAACTGATCCAAAAATTAGAATTTAAAGGTATACCTGTAAAATGTTTATCTGTTGCCATGGATCTTATAGCCATAGGAGGACTCAGTAACCTTTAAAGCAATTTACTTAATGTGGTATATGAAGTATTTTACTTTGCAAATGAGGCATACTAATTCAAGACACCCTTAACATTGAAGTTAGCTGATGGTATCTCTAAATTAATCCTTCCCTCAAGGTCTTTAAAGACTTACTTTTATCAAATTTTCAACATCTGACAGTATAATCTGTATGAATTTTATTTTATTTTTTTTTCCGAATAAAGGATACAAGTTTCTTATGGTACAATACTTCTTATGATATCTGATTTCACAAGATTATATGTGTGTATGGCAAACAAATGAGATATATATGAAATCAAAGATTAAATTACATTGAAAATATTGAAGTTTAAGGCAAAAAAATTAACCTTTGATCAAAGAATGATAAAGCAAAAGAAAATGAAAAGAATTGAGTTTCTCTTGGGTCAATTTGATGCTTTGAGTAGGCTTCATAAAATGACATGTAATGTGTACTTTATTTTAAACCAACAATTCCATAAACAGACACTTTAATACACAGAAATGTTCTCCGTGTCTGAATAACTTCCTGACAACCTTGGAAGTTTGAAAGTGGTAAAATTTCTTTGAAATTCCACATGAAGTTAAAGGCAAAGATCAAAATATTAATTGGACATAAAACAACCATAAAAATTTAGTAAATTTCAAGAATATTAAGACACTAGGTGCTATCTTTCATCCCACGTAGGCTTTGCACAGAAATTTGCCTAATCAAACCAACTTTGATATCCAAGTTGATCAATAATAACTTTAATAATCTAAAAGTCTCTTCCTATCACTGATATCATGTTGATTTATTAATTTTTCCAATAATTCATAATATTGCATTTGGTTACTTGAACATTTTGATAATTGCTAACTTTAATCATCAGATTTTTAATCATCTGATAGTTGCATAGAAAAGGGAGACATTAAGACTTTTTTTAATGTTTCATCACTGTTTTTGTAACTTCAATACATTTTCAAAAATGAAATTCATAAATAATTGTTAAACATTAAGTCATGATTTTTCTTTACATTTACTGCAGTGAGACAAATGAATATTAAGAAAAATGTTTTATTATAATAAATTCCATGTTTGTGTAAAACAAATTTAGAATATATAAATTCAAAATGAACAATCAGTCATACAGATTAATATGCCATTAATATTCTCTTCCAACAATTAATTCTATAATATAAATCGAACATTCTTCTTCACTTATATATACAGTCATACATAAGGCTATAATCTGTTGACAGAAAAATTAAAGTGACAAATTACACTCTATATATGCAAACTGTCATTTCAACACACCTAGAGACAGAGGAGACACTTGAAAATGAGCCAGAGACCACCAGAGTCTATTGAATAAGTACTACACTTAGCAGTGCACCATAGGAGTCTGCTTTGTTATAAAACCTAAGATTTGTTTAATTTCATAAAAGAAAATATATATGGATACAGAAATATGCTATGCAGTTACAGATTCATTTATATCTGAATTTTTTTTTAATTTTGGAATTATAAACACGCTAGCTTTACAGTCAACAAATCTAATAGGATTGTTGATTTTGATATAAAATAATTCATTTTTAAATATACAATAAATTAGACAACTTCAATAAAAGGGAACTTGTGTAACGTTAAAACTGTTTCGTATTTGACATGAACATAACAATTTTAAGGACAAATACATTTATGATAATTATATCACTGTATGCATAATACATATTAGGATAAATATATAGTAGGCCTAAAAAGTGATGTTTAATAAATATCAGATTATCATTATATCAGAAAATTTTATCTAAAGATTGTTTATAAGTATGATGTACTTCACAGTTTCCCATTCATGTTTAAACAAACATGAAGTAAACATTACAGAAAAGTTTAACAGGACAAATTCAATTAATGAACTTATATGTATTTTTCAGGTATTTCTTAATTTAAAATCCAAAAAAGACCAGAAACAATTCATGTGCATTCTTACGAGACAAGCTGTGTTTTTAAAAGCTTCTGCCAGGGACATTCATGTAACTAAGAATAAAGACAGTGGTTTAAAAACGTGCACTGAACATTTTTCTGAGTTATAAATATTTATTCAAAAAATCTTAATAAAGAATATTTTCCTACCTATGTGATTTTTATATTTATTTAACAAATAATAAATGCGACAATCAAATTAATAAGTATACTTTATTTTCAGGTGTAATTTCATGCTGATTCTTACGAGATTGCGACACAACATGCAGAGTTGTCAACAAAGTTTGTGTTAAAGTTTCGAAAAACTTTTTTCTTACCTCTGCCGACGTAGGTCTAATTTCTCTACTGCTTCCTCTGTAGGAAGTATATCCGTTAGGCCTACTCATCTTTTTAGCACCTGTCACATTCTGATATTCCTACTATCCATACCGTATTTCACTCCATTTAAAACTCGTATGTACAGGTAGATAACCTAAGCACGGCGTATTGTTTCCAAGTTGAAGTCACATGACTTCCGTTTGGTTACGAACACCAACGGGGAATAACTCTATCTTTAATCGGAGAAAAAAAATATCTCCCGTCACCCGTGTTCTCCGTTCCTTCCTATTTTCACTATCTCTATATGGCTTCATCTTTTAATTACTTGACTTCTTATTTAATAAATTTATTAACTTTTTCCTTGTGCAATTTGTGTGAATAAATTTACAGGACCCCTGTCCCTCCACAAAAAAAATAATTTACAAAAGTTTGTACCTCGAAAGAAATTTTCACTCGAGGTACTAATTTTTCTGATTTATTTTTTTTCTACATAAGCCCCTGTGGTCCCTCCCCGGGCATAACAAGTGTCATATCCAAAATATCGCTATAAAAAGTGCCTATTGTGTAGGATTTCAAAATATTTCAGTCATTAAATTTGTAAGTAGAATTGAATTGATTTACCAAACCAAGGTACAGAAATAATGGCCAGCAAATTGATATTTTTTTGAGTGAAATTCAACTTGCCATAATACATTTTTTTTTTCAATTATACATGTAAGTTACTTAACATCATATATACACTCTTGTTAAAATTTCCGAAGTGACACTAGAATATTGACAAGTGAATAAAAAAGGTTTCAGAATTTTAATTAGTAGAACTTCATTTGAAAAGAAGAAAATATCATTACATTCTAAAAGACTTCTGAAATACATAATCAAAAGAAATGTAGTTTTAACATTAAATGTCTCAATTCTGATTTGAAAAGTGTTGAAATGAAAAAAAAAAAAAAAAAAAAAAAAAAAAAAGATGCAATAAATTCCCCAGAATGACCTTTTTGTAAATTTAGTCAATTGTTAAATCTAAGCCAGAAAAGAAGTTTGAAATAGTATATATATATATATATATATATATATATATATATATATATATATATATATATATATATATATATATATATATATATATATATATATATATATATATATATATATATATATATATATATATATATATATATTAAATACTAGATTTAAAATTGATCCTTTTTAACCTTATTTTGTTACACACCTGACGTCTATATTTTTTTTTTCATCAAACACTGTTTTAAAAATTTAACACACAATATCTCATTCATTTTGTATTTAGCAGTTTGCCGTTTATATTTTTTATCATTTACGCAAAGTTTTTCACATTTTCTTACTTCAATATATGCTTATTTGCTTATATAATACACTTGTATATATTAATATATATATATATATATATATATATATATATATATATATATATATATATATATATATATATATATATATATATATATATATATATATATATATATATATATATATATGTCCAGTGATGAAAACTATTCAGTGAATTGACTTAAAATGTCCCAAAAATGCCCGTTATAGTTAATTATTTCAACTACAAATAGTATCTAACATTTTCTGTAATTTATTTTGTAGTCAAGAGAGATGAGGTTCATTGATAATTATAAAACTGTTTTGTCGCACTCCTGACTGCGGCAAGATTTAACAAATTAAAACCGCAAAACACAAAATAAATAATAATTTTGGCAACATCAAGTTATAACGAAATTATGCAATATTTATAGTTCAATACTTTATAGTTATATTTCACAGTTACTGTTTTACACTTTGGAAATTCTTTTTTAAAAACTTAATTGTCATACAGATTTTTAAAATCAATGTTTTCCGGCATCATTACATTCTATCTGTTGCACTCTTGACATGGTATAACCTTTCAGCATCAGCCGTGGCCATAACTTGGTCAAGCAAAAGTTACTACAGTCTAAATTTAAATTGAATTTTATCAGGAAAATCTTTATCTCTAAAATAAACCATTATTATTTATTTAAGAGATCTTCAAAAAACGTGAAATTTTCAAAATATCACAAGAAAGGTTGCACTCCTGACATTTTTAGCATCATTTTTGGACATAACTTTTTTTGTCTTAAAATATCAACGAGATCTTTGGCAGGCATTTAGCAGATATAAAAAGACACATGCTGAGCTTTAGAAATTTATTCACATAGTCTTAATTTTTAGTGCACGTTGATAATTATGTGTTCGGTCATTTTTTTTTTATTTACCAAGTAACGGAAATAAAGTTGCTGAAATAGGACTAGAAACAGGAGTTATTCCCCTTTGACCATAGATACAATTTTAATCGTCACGAAGTAATTGATAACATACTATTAATATACATGCGCGGATTTAGAAGGGGTGTCAGGGAGAGGAGGGGGGGGGGGTCCGGACCCCTGGGTTTTCAGGATTATTAAATTTCCATATAAAAGTGTCGAAATAATAACCTTGGACTCTTCCTACTACATCTTCGCTAGCCAAGGGTGATTTCAAGAAAGAGGAGAGGAGCGGATCATCACCCTTGGCTAGTGAAGATGCTCCTACTAGGAAACAAGAATCCCTTTTTAAAACACGGTTAGATTATTCTAACTACCTAATACCTAACATCCCCCCCCCCCCCCCGGTTAAGGTTAGGGGAAGTTTGTTCCCCCTTTTTTTGCTTGTCAAAAAAAAAATATCAGAGTCTGAAATATGAGTAGTAGTATGATGTGGAACCCTTCCCTGGAAAAAATCCTGAACCCGGGCCTGATATACATATAGATTAATAATACATGTAAATCAATTTAGAAATTAATTACTTGGTTGTTTTTTTGCCTTTTACTCATTTAATTACTTAAGCTATTTGTTCATTATAAGATCTATTTTTGTTGAAAATATGAACGTGGACATACAGGTATATTTCTCGAAGTGCTTACCCTTCTTCAGGTCTATGATGAAAAGTGAGTGAATACCCCATACATGAAGAAAAAATGATGGTATATCATAAGGGAGATAACTCTTTAAGTTCTTATCTTTAAATAGGCCTGTGGGCCAAAATGCTCACTCGTACTGAGGCGAGTTGTATTACTTTTCAAATCTTCCTGTCGACGCGTCCTGTTCTTTTGGATCATGTTTTGAGTAAATTGAATATACCGTTCGTGCATGATAAAGTGACGAGTTTAATCTACACTAAATGAGTAAGTTTCCGTATTGATTTGACAAATTGTATCTTGTTCGTGAGAAGAAGTTTGTTTCGAGTTTTTCCATGGGTCCTATTGATCTATGTATAACATTTCAAGAATCCACAGGCACCCTTGTTGTAAGTGAAAAAGATTTCGAAAGATATTTCCTTATATACTATAGTATCACTATTACTTCAGACTTTTGACCACTGCTGGGGCTCTACTGTTATGGCAAGAATCTCGGTTTAAAAGTAAATGAACACAATGTACTTTTATGTACATTTGACAGATAAATACTAATATACCTATGTTGTTCTCGAGATTTTCAACGGCATTCTCCTATATATTCCTATCTATCAAAGACTTCAATTCTGGCCTCGACGTGAACCAGCATTGCACGACACTATATGAGGGAACTTCTACATGTATTTCATAATAATATCCTAATTGTCATTTATTAGGTAGTAAAGTTTTAAAGGATTATACGTTAAGTTCTTCGCCTGCTCTTATTATGGCTCCATCCTGTTCTGACCCCAGGAACACCGTCTGAACCAAGTTAAAGGAGGGGAAAAGGAGCAACGTTTCCCGATTATTTGTAACATTGTTCAAGGTCGTAATTTTTATAGTTGAACATACAGTATTTACATCCACTGAATATTATCTCCTTTATTTCTTAAGAAAAACCATTGCCGTTTACACCGGCAGGCATATCACCTCTACAGATTCCTTGAGCAGTGGCTCTTCCATCAATGAAACGTACAATGAGGTACATATCAATTATACAATATTTAATCTTCTTAATCCTACTTTAAATGATTATTTGTACAGATATAAATATAAATAAAATGTCTTTCTTTGGTTGTTAGTACGGGAATTAACGTTGCAGCTATTGCAGAAAAATTACATAATCCGCTCACGCGGGTAAAGTATTTTTTCTGCAACAGCTGCAACATTAATTCCCGAACTAACAACCAAATAAAGCATTTTATTGTTTAATGTAAGACCATGGTACATCAAATTATAATAAATATACCCGCTGATCAAATATACATGCATATTGCTAGGCACGTGAAATACTATTTCCGAATGTTTCCGAAAGTAGGGATATTAATTTGGGTTTGTCCATCCGTCTGTCTGTCATTCTGTCTGTAACACTTTCATTTCCGGACAATATCTCAAAAATCCTTTGAGCTTTTGAAATGAAATTTCATATCACAACTCCCTATGGTCCAAAAAGACCCTACTTGATTTTGAGATCAAAAGGTCAAAGGTCAAGGTCAGAAATTCATACATTGTGCCTGTGTGGACTTTCGTTTCTGGACGATATCTCAAAAAGCTTTTGCAATGAAATTTTACATCACAAGTCCTATAACCTTAAGAAGAATTAGACCTTTATTAATTTTGAGGTCAAAAGGTTAAAGGTCAAGGTCATAAATTTATACATGGAACATAACAGTTTGCAGATGAAAACTTCCCTAACCACCTTAATCCTAACCCTAACTCTAGTATTAAGCCTAACCCTAGCTTCAACTCTAACCCGTTCATCCCCAGCTCTAATCCTAACCCTAGTAACGTAACCCTAACCCTTGCACCGTAACCCTAACAGCCTAAGCCCTCACCCTGGCCCTAAATCAAATCTTAAGAGCTTAACCCTACCCCTAACTCTGGCCCTTACCCCCTTTCAGCTTAACCATAACCCTAGTTCAACGATAACCCAAACTCAACACAAATCCGACAGTTTTCTTAAGAGTTTTTTTTCGATGAAATTTAATATCACAACTCCCTATGGCCTAAAAACATCCCTATTGATTTTGATATGAAAAGACAAAGCTCAAGACCAGAATTTCAAACATTGTGTATGTGGATAACACTTTCGTTTCTGGAGTATTTTGCAATGAAATTTTATATCATAACTCCTTATGGCCTGAAAAAGATATATATATTCAGGGTAAGAAATTTATATATTGAAGAAAAAA